TCTGTAGAGTCGATAGTAATGTTTCTGCTTTCATTTCTAATTTTAGTCATTTGAGTCTTTTATTTTCTTAGTCCGTCCAGCTAAAAGCTTGTCAATTTTGTTTATTTTTTTGAAGAACCATCTTTTGGTTTCATTGGTTTTTCTCTTTTTTGTTTGTCTCTGCTCTAATTTTTATTATTTCCTTCCTTCTGCTGGCTTTGTATTGAGTTAGTTCTTCTGTTTCTAGTTCCTTAAGTTGTAAAGTTAGGGTGTTGATATGAAATTTTTCTTCCTTTTTAATGTGAGCATTTATTGCTACAAATTTCCACCTTAGCACTGCTTTTGCTGTGTCCCATAAGATTTGGTATGTTGTCTTTTCATTTTCAATCTCTTAAGTTTTATTTATTTATTTTTTTAGACAGAATCTTGACCTGTCACCCAGGCTGGAGTGCGGTGATAAGATCTTCACTCACTGTAGCCTCTGCTTCTCAGGTTAAAGTGATTTGCCTGCCTCAGCTTCCTGAGTAGCTGGGATTACAGGCGTGCACCACTACGCTTGGCTAATTTTTTGTATCTTTATTAGAGAGGGGGTTTCACCATGTTGGCCAGGCTGATCTTAAACCCCTGACCTCAGGTGATCCTCCTGCCTCAGCCTCCGGAAGTGCTGGGATTATAGGCGTGAGTCACCATGCCCAGCCAGTCTCTAAGTATTTTTTAATTTTCCTTGTGGTTTCTTCTTTTAACCCTATTACTTAAACACACACATACACATTTAAAAAATATATCTACCTGCTTTTACTTATGGATCTTTGCAATTTTTGTTCTCTTTGCCTGGAAACTTTTCTGCCAAAATACCTACATGGACTTGCTCCTTTGCTTTTTAGATTCTGCTTAAATATCACCTTCAGCACAGAAACATTCCCTAACTACCCTAAAATCACAACCAACTATCTTCCCCCTTCAACACTTCCTGTCCCCCTTAACTGCTTTCTTTTCTTTCTTTCTTTCTTTTTTTTTTTTTTTTTTGACATAGAGTCTTGCTCTGTTGCCCAGGCCTGGAGTGCAGTGGCACAATCTTGGCTCACTTCAACCTCTGCCTCAGCCTCTCAAGTAGCTGGGAGTGCAGGTACCCACCACCATGCCTGGCTAATTTTTGGATTTTTTTTTTTTTTTTGAGATGGAGTCTTGCTCTGTTGCCCAGGCTGGAGTGCAGTGGCACAGTCTTGGCTCACTACAACCTCTGCCTCCCAGATTCCAGCAGTTTCTGGCTAATTTTTGTAGTTTTAGTAGCGATGAGATTTAACCACATTGGCCAGGCTGTTCTAGAAATTCTGACCTCAAGTGATCTGCCCACCTTGGCTTCCCAAAGTATTAGGATTACAGGTGTGGGCCACTGTGCTCGACCTAATTTTTTTTTTTTTTGAGATGGAGTCTCATTTTGTCACCTAGGCTGGAGTGCAGTGCTGCTATCTTGGCTCACTGCATCCTCTGCCTTAGCCTCTCAAGTATTTGGGACTACAGATGCCTGCCACCACACCCAGCTAATTTTTTGTGTATTTTTAGTAGAGGTGGGGTTTCACTGTATTGGCCAGGCTGGTCTCAAACTCGTGACCTTGTGATCTGCCTGCTTGGCCTCCCAAAATGCTGGGATTATGGGCATGAGCCACCACACCTGACTAATTTTTATATATATATATATATATATATATATTTTTTTTTTTTTTTTTTTTTTGAGACGGAGTTTCACTCTTGTTACCCAGGCTAGAGTGCAATGGCGCGATCTCATCTCACCGCAACCTCCGCCTCCTGGTTCAGGCAATTCTCCTGCCTCAGCCTCCTGAGTAGCTGGGATTACAGGCACGCGCCACCATGCCCAGCTAATTTTTTGTATTTTTAGTAGAGACGGGGTTTCACCATGTTGACCAGGATGGTCTCGATCTCTTGACCTCGTGATCCACCCGCCTCGGCCTCCCAAAGTGCTAGGATTACAGGCTTGAGCCACTGCGCCCGGCTACAATTTTTATATTTTTAATAGAGCTGGGGTTTCACTGTATTGGTCAGGCTGGTCTCAAACTCCTGACCTCAAGTGATCCGCCCACCTTGGCCTCTCAAAATGCTAGGATTACAGGCGTGAGCCACTGTGCCCAGCCTAATTTTTGTATTTTTATAGAGATAGTGTTTCACCATGTTGGCCAGGCTGGTCTCAAACTCCTGACCTCAAGTGATCTGCCCACCTCAGTCTCCCAAAGTGCTAAGATTACAGGCATGAACCACTGTGCCTAGCCTGCTGTATTTTCATTTCTAATTTATCAGCATCTAATATTTTATTCATTTGATAGTTATCTCTTCCTTCTGTCACTGAGTTAACAGCTCCCTGAGCACAGGATTTTGATTTTTTTCTTTACTTTAACTTTGGTATTGTTCATGCTATATCTCCAGTGTCTAGAAAAGAACTTATCACATAATAAGTACTTGATGAATATTTGTGGAATTAATTAAGCACTTCTCCACAGGAGAAGGTTTTTGGGTTTTTTTTTGAGATGGAGTCTCACTCTATTGCCCAGGCTGGAGCGCAATGGTGCCATCTTGGCTCACTGCAGTCTCCACCTCCCAGGTTCAAGTGATTCTCTTGCCTCAGCCTCCCAAGTAGCTGCGATTATAGGCGTGTACCACCATGCCTGGCTAATTTTTGTATTTTTAGTAGAGACAGGATTTCACCATGTTGGCTAGGCTGGTGTGAAACTCCTGACCTTGTGATCCACCTGCCTTGGCCTCACAAAGTGCTGGAATTATAGGCGTGAGCCACTGCACCTGGCCTAGGACTTGGGTTTTTTAAATCCTCAATCTCCCTTCCCTCGCCATTTTGATTGTTTGAATTTTTATATAACTGTAGTGAACCAGCAAGTTGATGGATTTGCTAGTGTGATCAGCGGAAACTTTGCAATTTCTTTTTTTTTTTTAAGACAATTTTTTGGATTTCTTTATCCTTTTTATTTTGTTTTTATTTTTATTTTTGGCTCACTGCAACCTCTGCCTCCCGGGTTCAAGCGATTCTCTTGCCTCTGCCTCCTAAGTAGCTGGGATTATAGACATGTGCCACCACTCCCAGCTAATTTTTGTATTTTATTAGAGACGGAGTTTTACCATGGTGGCTGGGACAGTCTCGATCTCCTGACCTTGTGATCCGCCCACCTCAGCCTCCCAAAGTTCAACTTTGCAATTTCTAGTAAGTTAGAGAATTCTGGGTAGGAAAATAATGTCTTGGCAGTTCTCCTTCTTAGAGTACAGATAGTCCCTAAAGCTTCTCTGGGAGTTTTGATAACTTTTAAGAATGTGTGATCTGTATGAATTTTCAATTACTCGGTCCTGGCAACGTGAATGGTATTCATTTTGTAACTTAATTATATGTTCAGGCAAGATACTAGTTTAGGTCTATTTCCAAAAATAATAGACTAATTGGAAAAGCTTTAGCCACGTGAGAGCAATTCACTCCACTTGATGCTCTTGGCCTACCTCAGTATAAGTTGGTTCTGCCTTAGTTTTGTTGAATTTTTAATCTTACTGTACATTCATGTGGATTATATGCATTGTGTAGGTTTTAGTACAGTTGGCAAATGACAGCATTACCAGATACTACCTGGGAGTTAAGTTTCCCAGGATAATAGATTTGGTCTTCTGATCACTCAAAAGTATACTCGGAGTGGGCTATGCCAGGGGAAGTTCAGGTATCCTTCTTAAATAAATAGCAACTTGGTTTATCTAGTGATAAGGGGAAAATAATTTCCTGTTTGGCACTTTCTCCAAAATATATGATACTCAGTGGGAAAAATGAACTCAGGTCAAGATTATGTCTCTCCCTTTGGCCCAGACATATATTGAGTATATAGTTATCTTATTGATGCTACTCTGTGGACTGTGGTTCTTTTTAGCTTTCCCATAATTCCTCTTAGGATGACATTTATTAGGTAATGTAGTTTAATAAATGTTTGAGAACCTACTGTGTGCTATGCATGGTAGTTGGTGCTGCGGAAATAGTAAACTAGACAGGGTTTCTTTCCCTAGTGACCTGAGGTCTAGTGGGTAACACATAAAAAAAAATTAGAGGTGATGTTTAGAAAGGGTGTATAAAGGGTGCTATAGGAATATATAGCAAATATTTAATGTGGTCTTGGTTGGTGTGGGTGGGGGAGGCTCATAAGATGGAAAGGGCTTCCTAAAGAAATGATCTTTTCAACTAAATACCTATTCAGGCATTTTTGTAGAATGAGGACCCTTGATCCAGTTGGCTTGGGTAGTGTAGCCCTTCTGTGCCTATTCACTCATTTGAAAAATGGGGCTAGTAATACTACCAACCTTACAATGTTGTGTGGACAAACTGAGTGAGCACATGTAAAGCACTTGAAACAATGAGTACCTGGCACATAGTAAGTACTCAACTTGTTAGTCATTATTTTTATGTATATTTTATTTTATGCCAAGTATCCACTGGCAGATTAGTATTTTGAACACAAGTTTGACATGTTTTTTCCACTACATCATAACCTAACTTGATCAGATAAGAATAGTAGAAACAGAATTCTGAAAAATAAGTTTGGCATTTTTACAAGTTAAAACCTGTTAGTGGCCAGGCAGAGTGTCTCACATCTTAATGCTAACACCTTGGGAAGCTGAGGTGGGATATCACTTGAGCCTAGAAGTTTGAGACCAGTGTGTGCAACACAGTGAGACCCCATCTCTACCATCAAAACAAAACAATTCTATTAGTATCTACTCTAAGAAGCTGCCAGAATTGTAATGTTTTACATCTCTTTGAACATTTAAAAAATTATATTTGTGAAACTTGAGACACTTATAATTTTACTATCTGCTTTAGCAGTATCATTTAGTCCTGATTTAATCCCTGTCACCAATAGTATGGTCAGAACTTCACATTTTTTTTTGACTAATGTAGTTGGTGAAAATGTCATTGATAACATGATAACTAAGAGTTCCTGAATGACCTTGTGTGTTTCTTTTTATAGACCGTTTAATTTGTCAGAGCGGAAAGCTAGTGCCCATTCAATAGTAGAATGTGATCCTGTACGAAAAGAAGTTAGTGTACGAACTGGAGGATTGGCTGACAAGAGCTCGAGGAAAACATATACTTTTGATATGGTAACATGTGGTGCAATTTCCTGATTATCCACTAATGTAAAATAATTTTAATATACATATTTCCCCTGGAAAATGGTATATACTTAGAAATTTCATTTGTCTCTTTGAATTGTCAGATGGCTTCTAGTAGGCTGAATTATGAATTAGTTAACATACAAAACCAAAATTATTAATTCATATATAATATATTTTATAATTATTAAAATAGAATAATATTGAGGTTTATTTTTTTTAATTCTTTTTTTTGATAGGTATTTGGAACATCTACTAAACAGATTGATGTTTACCGAAGTGTTGTTTGTCCAATTCTGGATGAAGTTATTATGGGCTATAATTGTACTATCTTTGCGTAAGTAAAACACTGTTTTTTCAGGTTTATGAAAAAGCTTAAATGCGTGGCTTTGTTTTGTTTTTGAGATGGAGTTTTGTTCTTGTTGCCCAGCCTGGAGTACAATAGCATGATCTCGGCTCTCTGCAACCTCTGCCTTCTGGGTTCAAGTGATTCTCCTGTCTCAGCCTCCCAAGTAGCTGGGATTACAGGCACCCACCACTATACCTGGCTAATTTTTTGTATTTTTAGTAGAGACAGGATTTCACCATGTTGGCCAGGCTGGTCTTGAACTCCTGATCGTGTCCTCAGGTTATCCACCCTCCTCAGCCTTCCAAAGTGCTGGGATTACAGGCGTGAGCCACCATGCCCAGCCTGTTTTTTGTTTGTTTTTTAGACGGAGTCTCACTCTGTAGCCCAGACTGGAGTGCAGAGGTGTTATCTCTCCTCACTGTAACCTCCACCTCCCAGGTTCAGGTGATTCTCATGCCTTGGCCTCTCAAGTAGCTGGGATTACAGGTGTGTACCACTGGACCTGGCTAATTTTTGTATTTTTTTTTTTTAAACGGAGTCTTGTTCTGTTGCCAGGCTGCAGTTGTGTGATCTCTGCTCATTGCAACCTCTGCTTCCTAGGTTCAAGCAATTCTGCCTCAGCCTCCCAAGTAGCTGGGACTACAGGCATATGCCACCTGCCTAGCTAATTTTTATATTTTTAGTGGAGATAGAGTTTCACCATGTTGGCCAGGATGGTCTTGATTTCCTGACCTTGTGATCCGCCAGTCTTGGCCTCTCAACGTGCTGGGACTACAGGCCTGAGCCAGCATGCCTGGCCTAATTTTTGTATTTTTAGTAGAGATGGGGTTTCACCATGTTGGCCAGGCTGGTCTTGAACTCCTGACCTCAAGTGAACCACCCATCTCGGCCTCCCAAAATGCTGGGATTATAGACATGAGCCACCATGCCTGCCTATTTCTTTTAATCTGTCATTAATAGTCATATGAGTGTATGTTTGTTTTTGATTTAACACTAATCTTGACAGGTATGGCCAAACTGGCACTGGAAAAACCTTTACAATGGAAGGTGAAAGGTCACCTAATGAAGAGTATACATGGGAAGAGGTATTTATTGTTTATAACATATTTTTATCTCCAATGCGGTTGAAATTTAACTGAATAAAACTTGTTTGAGGGCCTCTGTCTTGAAATAGAGAAGATCAGGGTACTTGTGTCAAAATGAATTTAGGGTAAATCACTACTTCAGTAAAATTAAAGTGTATGGTATGATTCCTGTTTAAGAAACAGCCACACTGGGAGAGGAAGGACCGATATATATGGCACAGTTATGTGATAAAAGAGGGGTCTATTTACAACAGAATGGTTAGAGCAGAATATTGTAGAAAAGTTGGAGTATGAGTGAGGCTTGAAGGCAGGGAGGGCTTTGTACTGAAGGAATGAGTCTCAAAACATTAGCATGGCCAGAGGAAGTATAGTACTATATTCATGATGATCTTAAGTGTTCATGAAATTAAGATAAACGTATTATTTAATATTGAGAAAGCATATACTACATTTTACAAAGATTTTCATGGGTTTCAGTGAGTTTAATAACTAAAGGAGAGAACCAATTCTGGAAGAATGTTGAAAGAAGAACAAAGACAAGTTGAACTATAGCTGAAGTGTTAAAACTTTTTTAAAAAAGTTTAAATTTAAATTTAGTAATGTGTTTAAATTTAAATGAGTTTAATAACTAGTTAATTGGCTGGGCACAGTGGCTCACACCTGTAATCCTAGAACTTTGGGAGGCCAAGGCAGGCGGATCACCTAAGATCAGCAGTTTGAGACCGGTCTGGCCAACATGGTGAAACTTGGTCTCTACTAAAAATACAGAAATTAGCCTGACATGGTGGCACATAACTGTAATTTCAGCTACCTAGGGGCTGAGGCAAGAGAATCGCTGAAACCCAGGAGGTGGACGCTGCAGTGAGCTGAGATGGTGCTACTGCACTCCAGCCTGGGCAATAGAACAAGACTCTGTCTCAAAAAAAAAAAATTGGTTAATTTTCCACCCCAACATTTTTTTTTTTGGGGGGGGACGGAGTTTCGCCCTTGTTACCCAGGCTGGAGCGCAATGGCGCGATCTCGGCTCACCGCAACCTCCGCCTCCTGGGTTCAGGCAATTCTCCTGCCTCAGCCTCCTGAGTAGCTAGGATTACAGGCACGCGCCACCATGCCCAGCTAATTTTTTGTATTTTTAGTAGAGATGGGGTTTCACCGTGTTGACCAGGATGGTCTCGATCTCTTGACCTCGTGATCCACCCGCCTCGGCCTCCCAAAGTGCTGGGATTACAGGCTTGAGCCACCGCGCCCGGCCTTTTTTTTTTTTTTTTTTGTCAAGTTAGTTTTTTCAAGTGGTGAGGTCTCACTATGTTGCCCAGGCTGGTCTTGAGCTCTTGGGTTTAAGGAGCCCAAGAGTTCAAGACCTCCCACCTCAACCTCCTGAGCAGCTATTACAGGCACATACTACCTTGCCCAGCCAATTTTCCAAATTGTTGATATTTGGGTAGATCCTTTCTTCTAGTGGTTACATAATTGAGGCATTAACTTATTTTACATATGGATAATAAAGTTATGAAATTATAACCATAGGAGATATGGAATAGGCTTAAAGCATAGGTTAGTGGGTCAGAATTACTGAATTTGGCTTTATAAGTAGATGAGTTCCATTGGTTTCCATGTGATGCTCAGGCATGAAGATGGCTAAGAAGTATGACAGGTTTATGGAGGGTGTGAAGACTACTGTTGAACAGACTGTTGTAAGTGACTTCTTTAACATTAAGTTGTTTCTTTTTTTTTTTTTTTTTAACTTAGTTTACCATACTTATGTTTAAATATATTATAAAGGAAGTCCATGTATTTTAACTGCCACAGTAAATAGCATTCTTCCTTTATATTAGTCCTTTTATAATTTCAGGATCCCTTGGCTGGTATAATTCCACGTACCCTTCATCAAATTTTTGAGAAACTTACTGATAATGGTACTGAATTTTCAGTCAAAGTGTCTCTGTTGGAGATCTATAATGAAGAACTTTTTGATCTTCTTAATCCATCTTCTGATGTTTCTGAGAGACTACAGATGTTTGATGATCCCCGTAACAAGGTAATTCAGTCTTTGAGAATGAAATGTCTCTGAATTTTAATGTGTGAGGCTTTGAGAAGTTGGGGCAGGGGGCGGGGTGGCGGGTGCGGAGAGAGAGAGAATGTGTGTTTGTGTGTGTGTGTACATGTGCGTGCGCATGTGCTTTAACCAATCTAATGGATGTTCTTTTGGTATTTTGGTCAGAGAGGAGTGATAATTAAAGGTTTAGAAGAAATTACGGTACACAACAAGGATGAAGTCTATCAAATTTTAGAAAAGGGGGCAGCAAAAAGGACAACTGCAGCTACTTTGATGAATGCATACTCTAGGTAAGAAAGCCATAGTCTGTCTCCTAGCCCCATTTTCTTTTAAGAAGAATTAGGAACTTGGAGAAAGTCAGACTGCGGTGGGTCAAGGTACGTGGGTCACATGCTTAGATTTTGTGTTATAAGGAGGGGTTGTTGGTAATTGGCTTGAGATTTATAGGGAAGGGCCCAATATTGGAAGAATGTTAAAAGAACAAAGATAACTTGAACCATAGCTGAAGTATTAAACTTTTTTAAAGTAGAAGAATCCTTTTGTTCTAGTGATATCATTTATGGAAGCCCAGGATAAAATGTGGCTGCTGTAGTTGATTTTGGTATGGGATGCTCAGAGGCTTACCTCCTTAGCCTTATGAAGGGGCCCCTGAGACACTTTTGTGGAGCCCCCTACTGCTGTTAGAATACAGCTTGAAAACCCTTGCTTTGAATAGGGATTGGAAGAAGTCAGGTCTTTTAAAATGGCTTCATTTTAATGTGGGAGACAGATGGTCACTAACACTATCTTTCATGGGGTGAAAGGGATGATTTTTTTTCCTTCTAAATATCTTTTATTGAAATACAAAATTTCTTTTTAAAAATGGTTTATTTTCTTCTCTTACCACTCTATTCAGTGAAATATAAAATTCCTATCTTAAATTTACATAAGTTATTGCTTCTCAGCCTTTTGGCTAAGATAAAGTGTAGTAAATTTACATAAGTTAGGAACTCCTTTATTCTCATGAAGACCCCTGTAGGACAAATTTCCAAATTCTACAAATACAGTTTACTAAAACAGGTTTTTTTGTGTATGTGTGTATGGTCTTTGAAAGAACATCAGAATGTAATAGAAAAAGCAGTAGATTGGGAATTAGATATTGTGTGTAGTCTCAGTTTTGCAGTTAATTCAGTATGTGACTTTGGGTAAATAAGTGACTTTATCTGCATATCAGTTTCTGTGAGCTACAAAATGGTTGTTAGGATTAGAAGTCTTATTTCTTTGTTTGCGTGTGGTTGAAAATTTCTACAAAATGCCATAACAATTATAGTTGCAACTCTAAAAAAAGTTTACATTTAAAGCAAAAGAAAAATATACCATAAAAGTTATAAAGATCATGGAATTTTGGATGATTTCAAAATTTTAATTAAATTTTCACTATAATGGCTTTCCAATAAAATGGAAATTTTATTCTTTGGTTGATTTATAACTTAATTTCATGTAGAATTTAGAGAACTGAACTGAAGAGTAGGTAAAATTTCTTTAGGTATATTTCACTAAAATATAAAATTTCTATTTTTCCTTTTTTCTTGTATGTAGACTTGTAAAGGTCACTTTTTATGAATGTATGTGACAAAGATAAATTAATTCAGTTTTCCCAAATCAAAGCTGACTTTAATGCTTATTTGTATTAATTCCCTAATGTGGATTAGGATTGGGTAGATAATGGCAGAAAATCATGAGATGAATATTATAATTCAGATCTATAGTTTACATGTATGTTCTTCCTTGTACCTTCCTCTTTTTCTGTAATTTTAAATAAATAATTTTTATAAAAATGATACTTTATTTATTTATTTATTTTGTGGCACAATTTCCCCCTTGTTGCCCTGGCTAGAGTGCAATGATGCGATCTCAGCTCACAGCAAACCTCCTGGTTCAACAATTCTCCTGCCTCAGCCTCCTGAGTAGCTGAGTTTATAGGCGCACGCCACCACACCCGCTAGTTTTTGTATTTTTTTAGTAGAGATAGGGTTTCACCATGTTGGTCAGGCTGGTCTCAAACTCCTGACTTTGTGATCTGCCTGCCTTGGCCTCCCAAAGTGCTGGGATTACAGGCGTGAGCCACCTTGCCCGTCCTTAATTTTTGTTTAAGTAATATGAAATTGCAAAGAAGAAAATTGAAACTTACCATATTCCCTGTCAACTGTCAACAGCATTAACAAACATAACAATGTCCACCAAATGCCACTGGATATAGAAAAAAATGTCTTTAGTCATCTATATAATTTTTTTTCCAGTAAGATAAGAGCAGAGTATTTGTTTTGTTTTTTGGTTTTTGGGTTTTTTTTCCCAAACCTCTGTACACTCTGATGTTTTTTGTTTTTTTGTTTGGTTAGTTTTTTTTTTTTTTTGAGACAGAGTCTCACTCTGTCACCCAGGCTGGAGTGCAGTGACTCAGTCATGGCTTACTGTAGCCTTCACCTCCTGGGCTAAAGTGATCCTCCCACCTGAGCCTCCAGGGTAGCCAGAACTGTAGGAGCATGCCACCATACCCAGCTAATTTTTAAATGTTTTGTAGAGATGGAGGTCCCACTATGTTGCCCAGGCTGGTTTCAAACTCCTGGGTTCAAGTGGCCCTCCTACCTTGACCTCCCAAAGGTAGCTATACTGCCCCTGGCCTGAATATCAGTATTTAGCAAAAGGTAGACTTTCGAACATTTTATAATCTAGCAGTGATTATCTTGTTGTGTTTTAGTAATCACGCTGTTTACTATTTCTGCTGTTTGGGGAGAGGAGTCACCTATTTCTAATGACAGTCTCAAGGCAGAGAAATGTACTTGTGCATATACAATTGGGAGGTGGGAGAGTAAACTAATGGCTTGCTTGGTACCATTTGAATTTATGGTAATGACATATTTCAAATGGTTCTTATGAATAGGAAGATTGATTGCAAGCTATCTTCTTGACATAACCAGGCAACTGTTTCAACGCCACCCACATACAGCTTTCAGAGGTACCTCAGGATTCTAAGTCTTTGGTTTTTTTTTTTTTTTTTTTTTGAGACGGAGTCTCGTTCTGTTGCCCAGGCTGGAGTGCAATGGCATGATCTCAGCTCACTGCAACCTCTACTTTCCTGGTTCAAGTGATTGTCCTGCCTTGGCCTCGAGAGTAGCTGGGATCACAGGCACCTATCACCACGCCCAGCTAATTTTTATATTTTTAGTAGAGACGAGGTTCACAATGTTGGCCAGGCTGGTCTCAAATTCTTGACCTTCGGTGATCCACCACCTTGGCCTCCTAAAGTGCTGAGATTACAGGCATGAGCCACTGTGCCCCGGGCTGGATTCTGTCTTTTAGGGGTTTTTTTAGGTAGCTTCTTTTTTTTTTTCTTTTTTTTTTTTTTGAGACGGAGTTTCGCTCTTGTTACCCAGGCTGGAGTGCAATGGCGCGATCTCGGCTCACCGCAACCTCCACCTCCTGGGTTCAGGCAATTCTCCTGCCTCAGCCTCCTGAGTAGCTGGGATTACAAGCACACACCACCATGCCCAGCTAATTTTTTGTATTTTTAGTAGAGACGGGGTTTCACCATGCTGACCAGGATGGTCTCGATCTCTTGACCTCGTGATCCACCTACCTCGGCCTCCCAAAGTGCTGGGATTACAGGCATGAGCCACCGCGCCCGGCCTTAGGTAGCTTCTTATTGATGTCTCTTTAGCAGGCAGAAGATATGAGAAAGCAACCTAATCATCGTTCTATCCATCTCCTATCCTCCAAAATCTTGTTGTTATCTCCTGTCGGATGTTATCTTTCTCTACCCTTCTGTATTTAGATCTTCCTTTCCTGTTTTCAGTATTTTAGAAGCAGCAAATACTGTTTTACATTATAATGACTGGGCAACTTGATATTGTTTTCTAGTCGTTCCCACTCAGTTTTCTCTGTTACAATACATATGAAAGAAACCACAATTGATGGAGAAGAGCTTGTTAAAATTGGAAAGTTGAACTTGGTAAGCATCTACCTTAATACTACTGATTCATTCTTAAAAACCTCATAGAGCAGCTTGAAATTTTGTACTTTAGACAAATTTTTGTGGTCACTGGGTGATTGATTAACTTTGCAGTGGGAGAAGAAATTTGTTAATTATAGAAACATTATTTTGCGGGCTATTGAATATATTATGTATACTATGAGAATGAAAGTCTTTGAATCCAAATCCAATAGACTCAATTTTTGTTTTTATTTTTAAAATTAAAGGTTGATCTTGCAGGAAGTGAAAACATTGGGCGTTCTGGAGCTGTTGATAAGAGAGCTCGGGAAGCTGGAAATATAAATCAATCCTTGTTGACTTTGGGAAGGGTTATTACTGCTCTTGTAGAAAGAACACCTCATGTTCCTTATCGAGAATCTAAACTAACTAGAATTCTCCAGGATTCTCTTGGAGGGCGTACAAGAACTTCTATAATTGCAACAATTTCTCCTGCATCTCTCAATCTTGAGGTAAGCCCTTTGAAAGGAAGCTGCAAATATGGTAGCTGTAATTCTTATTTAGCTGTTATGTATTTTAAAATTTCATTTACTAGGACACAGTGGCTCACACCTGTAATCCAGCACTTTGGAAGTCCTAGGTGGGCGGATCACTTGAGCTCAGGAGTTCGAGACCAGCTTGGACAACATGACAAAACCCTGTCTCTACCAAAAATACAAAATGTTAGCCGGGTTTGGTGGTGCGCTCCTGTGGTCCCAGCTACTTGGGAGGCTGAGGTGGGAGGATCACTTGAGCCTGGGAGGTGGAAGTTGCAATGAGCTGAGATCATGCTACTACACTCCAGCCTGGGTGACAGAGTGAGACCCCATCTCAAAAAAAAAAGTACAAGAAAAAAGTTTCTTAGCTTCATTCATTCTATGCTATAGTGTAAAAGAATCTGGACATTGCATATGAACATATACAGGAGGACACTTCTGAAAAATTATGTTTGTCCTTCCTGGCAGACTTTTTAACCTTACACTTGATCTTAGCCAAAAGGCTGAGAAGTGATGTTTTTAAGCTTAAAAAGCCAGTATCTTAATTGCTTTTTCCACACAGTCTTCAAAGAAAATTGCTGTGGTCATTATCAATGGGTGGTGTGTGGAGATTTAATTGAGGACTTAGAAGCAGTTCTAGTGAGTGCTCGCTAGTGTTATAGAGGCTACTTAGAGAACACTGAAGATGGAATTGGATGTGTGGGAACAGAGAGGAAAAACCAAGAGAAGCAACAAAGATGGTAAAATGTACTCTTATTTTATTGCTCTCATCTGCCTTAAGTGTAGTTTTTATTTATTTATTTTTTATTTTTAGAGGTAGAGTCTCATACTGTTTCCCAGGCTGCAGTGGAGCAGCATGATCATGGCTCACTATAACCTTAAATTCCTGGACTCAAGCGATTCCCCCGACCCCAGCCTCCTAAGTAGCCAGTACTACAGGTGTGAACCACCAGGCCTGGCTAAGTTTTGTTTTGTTTTTAAATAGAGACAGACGTCTCACTATGTTACCCAGGCTGGTCTTGACCTCCTGGGTTCAAGGGATCTTCCTATCTCAGCTTCCCGGAGGGCTGCGATTATAGGCATGAGCCACCTTGCTTGACCTAAATGAAGTTTAAAAACCTTCTTTAAGGTCTCCAACTTCCCCTTCATTTAAAAAAGAAAAAAAAAGACTTTATTGAGATTTAATTCACATATCATAAAATTCATCGCTTGAGTTCAGGAATTGAAGGTTTCAGTGAGCCATGATCATGCTACTGTACTTCAGCCTGGGCAACAGTATGAGACTCTACCTCTAAAAATAAAAAAAGGCCGAGTGTGGTGGCTCACACCTGTAATCCCAGCACTTTGGGAGGCCGAGGCGGGCAGATCACTTAAGGTCAGGAGTTCGAGACCAACCCGACCAATGTGGTGAAACTCTGTGTCTATTAAAAATACAAAAAATTAGCCAGGCGTGGTGGCAGGCACCTGTAACCCCAGATTCGTGGGAGGCTGAGACAGGAGAATCACTTGAACCTGGAAGGCGGAGGTTGAAGTGAGCCGAGATCGCACCACTGCACTCCAGCCTGGGTGACAGAGCTAGACTCGGTCTCAAAAAAAAAAAAAAAAGTGTGTGTGTGTGTGTGTATAAAATATTAATATAATTTATTATACTAATTTAATAATTTTAGTATGTTTACAGAGTTGTCTAACTATCGCCAAAATCAAAGTTTTGAACATTTTCATAACCCCAGAAAGAAAGTCTGAACCCACCGAAATTCAGTTTCCATCTGCCCCACTCCCAGCTCTAGGTCACTACTGATTTTTGCATCTATAGATTTGCCTATTCTGGATGTTTCATATAAATGGAATTACGTAATATGTAGTTTTTTGTGACTGGCTTCTTTCACTTAGCATAATGTTTTTAAGATTCATCTGTATTGTAACAGCAATACTTTATTCTTTTTTATGAGTGAGTAATTTATTGTATGGATATAGGACATTTTGTTTATTCATCAGTTAGTTGGTAGATTCATTGAGGTTTTTTTAATTTTAATTTTAATTTTTTTTTGAGACAGGGTATCTTTGTTGCCCAGGCCGGAGTGCAGTGGCATAGTCACTGCAGCCTCAACCTCCTGGGCTCAAGTGATCCCCCCTACTTGGGAGTCCCACCCTTAGACTACCAAGTAGATGGGACTATAGGCACACGCTACCATGCCCAGCTAATTTTTATTTCTTTATGTATTTTTTGTAGAAACAGGGTCTCTCTATGTTGCCCAGGCTGATCTCAAGCTCCTATATTCAAGTGACCCTAGGAGGCCTTGGCTTCCAAAGTGCTGGGATTACAAATATGAGCCATCATTGAGTTTAAGAATAGTGTAAAGGAAATTATCCTAGAGGTCAAGACCCTGAAAATTGAAGAGAATGGAAAAAAGGATTGAACAACTTTCTTTTTAAAGGCTGGCCATAGTGGTCTTAATGACTAGATTTTAAAATCAGATATAACTGTAAAATATTACTTGTAAGTTATTGTATAACATAGTTTAGATAACAGAACTACATTATTCTCACAGTATCTTCAGTAATTGACCTTTCCTTTCCATGACAGGAAACTCTGAGTACATTGGAGTATGCTCATAGAGCAAAGAACATATTAAATAAGCCTGAAGTGAATCAGAAACTCACCAAAAAAGCTCTCATTAAGGTAATTGTGAATTATTATAGAGTAATGTAATCTTATTTGACAAATGTGAAAATAAGAAACTGAAGCGGGAGATAATTATTAAACAAGATTTGAAATTGCCCATGGAAGCGTTTTTATGTAGTAATTTAAACTAAGTATCTTACATGTTAACGTATTTGTGTTAACCCATTGTAGTTGTTATCCTCATTGATGCTCAAATTGGCTCATCTCTGGCCAGGGGTATATTAGTCTGTTTTCATGCTGCTGATAAGGACATAACCCAGACTGGGCAATTTACAAAATAAAGAGGTTTAATAGACTTAATGGTTCCACATGGCTGGGGAGGCCTCATAATCATGGCAGAAGACAAGGAGGAGCAAGTCACATCTTAGGTGGATGGCACTGGACAAAGAGAGAGCTTGTTTGGAGAAACTCCCCTTTTTAAAACCATCAGGTCTCTTGAGACCCATTTACTATCATGAGAAGAGCATGGGAAACACCTGCCCCCATGATTCACTCATCTCCCACTAGGTGCCTCCCACAACCTGTGGGAATTATGGGATCTACAAGATGAGATTTGGGTGAGGACACAGAGGGGGTCCTCTTTAAGTGGCTTGAGTCCTTTTCATTAGCCCAGTAGGCTTTGCTTAGCTTCTTTCCTGTCTTGACAAAATGTTCGGTGTTCATCTTGACTATTTCCTTCCTCAGTCCTGGAATCAGATGTTTTTCTAAGGAATCCTGGTTCATTTTAGTGTGAAATAGTGCTACCAACCTGGGTACTGGAGGTTGTGTTTTTTCTTGGGAAGTCTATATTTTTAGAATGAGTGTATTTAAAGGAGCTTTGAAAGACCTTTTTTTTTTTTTTTTTTTTTTGGGGAGGCGGTGTTTCGCTCTTGTTACCCAGGCTGGAGTGCAATGGCACGATCTCGGCTCACCGCAACCTCCGCCTCCTGGGTTCAGGCAATTCTCCTGCCTCAGCCTCCTGAGTAGCTGGGATTACAAGCACGTGCCACCATGCCCAGCTAATTTTTTGTAGTTTTAGTAGAGACGGGGTTTCACCATGTTGACCAGGATGGTCTCGATCTCTTGACCTCGTGATCCACCCGCCTCGGCCTCCCAAAGTGCTGGGATTACAGGCTTGAGCCACCGCGCCCGGCGAAAGACCTTTTTTTTATTTTTATTTTTACTGAGACAGTTTAGCTCTTGCTGCCCAGGCTGGAGTACAATGGCACAATCTTGGCTCAATGCAACCTCCACCTCCCAGGTTCAAGTGATTCTCCTGCCTCAGCCTCCTGAGTAGCTGGGATTACAGGCACGTGCCTCCAAACCCAGCTAATATTGTATTTTCAGTAGAGATGGGGGTTTCTCCATGTTGGTCAGGCTGGTCTTGAACTCCTGACCTCAAGTGATCGTCTGCCTCGGCCTCCCAAAGTTCTGGGATCACAGATGTGAGCCACTGCACCCAGCCAAAAGACTTTATTTCAAACAAATTAACACTGATTTAAAAATAGGGTCATAACTTTTTATCATACTTCTGTATGTTTTAAAAGACATAAAAAGGCTAACTTTGTTTTATTTGATGCATGTCCTTCCCAAACTGAATGAAAAAAGTACTAAACTGACACCTACAACATTCCTTTTGTGTAGGAGTATACGGAGGAGATAGAGCGTTTAAAACGAGATCTTGCTGCAACCCGCGAGAAAAATGGAGTGTACATTTCTGAAGAAAATTTTAGGTAAGCCCTTGGCTATGGAGTTAATTTCCAAGAATAAGCATTTTCTGATAACAGGCTGTTTGAAGTAAAACTTACTTATGTAGCAGTAAGTAAAATCTTTATACCAAGTGCCAGTAAATACTTCATTCTCTGTGTGTGTGTGTGTGTGTGTGTGTGTGTGTGTGTGTGTGTGTTTGTTTCCTTTTGAGACAGGGTCTTGCTCTGTCACCCAGATTGGAGTGCAGTGGCATGATCTTGGATTGCTACAGCCTCAATCTCCTGGGCTCAAGCAATCTTCTTGCCTCAGCCTCCCAAGTAGATAGGACTAAAGGCATGTACCACCACACCCAGCTAATTTTTGCATTTCTTGTAGAGACAGGGTTTTGCCGTGCTGGCATCCATTTTGTTTTGACATTAACAAGTAGCTATCAAACACTTTTTAGAAAATCTTTTATTAACTTTTTATTTTTAAATCATTATACATTCACATGAAGGTGCAAAAAGAGTGCAAGAGAGGTTTTATGTATTCTTCAGCCAGTTTTCCTCAATGGTTACCTCTTATGTAATTATAATACAAGGACCGGTGCTGTGGCTCATGCCTGTAATCCCAGCACTTTGGAGGCGAAAGTAGGTGGATCACCTGAGGTCGGGGGCTCAAGACCAGCCTAACCAACATGTTAAGGGAATTTGCATTCACAGAAGAATCTTTGTCATTTAAGCCTAATGTGAAGTATAAAATTGTTGGTTGTTATCAAAGAAATAGATGAGCAAATAAAGGCATTTACTTCTGAAATGAATACTCGAGAAATCAGACCCATTAAAGTGATTTTGGAAGACCTGTGAGCTTTGTGCTTGAAAAAAGCATTACTCTATTTTATTTACTTTTTATGACATTTTTTGACTTTGACTTCATCTTCTAATATTTTTGTTGAATTTTATTTTTGCTGTCAAATTTTTAGTTTCTAAAAACTCTTGTTCCCTGTCATCCCTGTCCCTCCTTTTAAAAAATATGGCATCTTCTTATTTTATAAATATAGTCCTTAACTCAAAAACATTATTAATGTTGTGTTTTTTTTTTGTTTGTTTTTTTGTTTTTTTTTTTTTTGAGACGGAGTTTTGCTCTTGTTGCCCAGGCTGGAGTGCAATGGCGCGATCTCGGGTCACCGCAACCTCCGCCTCCCGGGTTCAGGCAATTCTCCTGCCTCAGCCTCCTGAGTAGCTGGGATTACAGGCACGCGCCACCATGCCCAGCTAATTTTTTGTATTTTTAGTAGAGACGGGGTTTCACCGTGTTGACCAGGATGGTCTCGATCTCTTGACCTCGTGATCCACCCGCCTCGGCCTCCCAAAGTGCTGGGATTACAGGCTTGAGCCACCGCGCCCGGCCTTATTAATGTTATTGAAGTTTTCTTTTCTGTTTTTCTTTCCTTTGGGATCCTTTTTTTTCCCCTATGTTGTGATGTCTGTCATTTGTATTTATTTTCTTCAAATGTCTAGTGATTTTTGGCTGGCAGTTAAGATAGATTAGAAGCTTTGTACATGGGTGAGGATTATGGACCTGTGAGTTCATTATAGATGAAAAAGTGGTGATCTCAGTGTTAAGTCTGGGCTTCTATCAGATGTCATTCTTTGTTGGAGTTTTTTCTTTTGGGCAAGACATCAATCTTTCCTGAGAAGACTTGCCCAGTTTGCTTGGAGATTTTTCTGGCTGCTGCTATTTTTGGATTAAAGTGAGTAGAGGGGGCTAAGTATCCCACCATTTAGTATGTAGAATCACACTTAAATGCTCATTTCTTTTTTTTTTTTTTGAGATGGAGTTTTGCTCTTGTTTCCCAGGCTGGAATGCAATGGTGCGATCTTGGCTCACCACAACCTCTGCCTCCCGGGTTCAAATGATTCTCCTGCCTCAGCCTCCTGAGTAGCTGGGATTACAGGCATGTGCCATCATGCCCGGCTAATTTTGTATTTTTAGTAGAGACCAACTCCATGTTGGTCAGGCTGGTCTCAAACTCCTGACCTCAGGTGATCCTCCTGCCTCGGCCTCCCAAAGTGCTGGGATTACAGGCATGAGCCACCCTGCCTGACCTTAAATACTCATTTCTAGTCCCCAAACCTTACTTCTACAATCCGTGGTGTCTAGTGAAAGTGAACCTGGAAATTCTGCTGCAGTCCCTATAGACTAGTGGCTCTCAACGGGAATGGTGTTGGGGGAGTGGTGGTGGTGGATGGTTTTGTCCCCCAGAGGACATTTGGCAGAGTCCAGAGACATTTTTTATTGTCATTACTTGGATGGTACTAAACATCCTGAAATGTACAGGACATCCCCGCAACAAAGAATTATCTGATGCAGTAGTGCTGAGGCTGAGAAACTCTGCTCTAGAGAGTAATCCTTTGTTCTCATAAGGGTTATGTGGTGGTGTGAGAGTGGTGTTTGTGCCAGTGTTTGGGTGTGTTGCAGCAGCAGGGAGTGTAATTACTCTGTATACATACTTAATTAATTAAGTCTCAGTTTTTAGCCCCTAATCTTACCCTTTCCCTCTAACATACATAATGCCTTTAAGTTCCAAATCTTTCTAGCATCTTTGTGGCATATTTGTATTCTGTATCCCTGGTAATAGACACTTAGATTATATTCCCTCCTCTCTCTACTTTGAGTTATAGTCTTCTGTTAACTTTCTAGCTTCTCAAATTTGGTACACACATGCTTTTCCCCTCATAGGTAAGGATTCTTAGTTTCAGAATTGAGTGCAAGAGAAAAATATTTCGTTTATAAAACACAGACAAGGAATATAATGTTTTTTGCAATTTGAATTTATTGCTTATTGATAGGTATCAAGTGACAAGTATCAAGTGATGGTGATAAATGTTGGAAATGAGTTTGTGTAGCTGCCACAATTGTGTTAGAATAAATTTTGTAAGAGTTAGAAAAAAAATATTAACTGTTAAACTTCATTTTAGAGTCATGAGTGGAAAATTAACTGTTCAAGAAGAGCAGATTGTAGAACTGATTGAAAAAATTGGTGCTGTTGAGGAGGAGCTAAGTAGGGTAAGCATTTAAAATGATATTTAATGTTATGTGAAAAGCAAACATTAAAAGAAAATTTTAGAATGTGAAAGACTTAATATTTTTTCCTTCAAGATTTGTTTTTTTTTTGTTGTTTTTTTTTGGGGGGACGGAGTTTCGCTCTTGTTACCCAGGCTGGAGTGCAATGGCACGATCTCGGCTCACCGCAACCTCCGCCTCCTGGGTTCAGGCAATTCTCCTGCCTCAGCCTCCTAAGTAGCTGGGATTACAGGCACACGCCACCATGCCCAGCTAATTTTTTGTATTTTTAGTAGAGACGGGGTTTCACCGTGTTGACCAGGATGGTCTCGATCTTCTGACCTCGTGATCCACCCGCCTCGGCCTCCCAAAGTGCTGGGATTACAGGCTTGAGCCACCGCGCCCGGCCTAAGATTTTTTTTTTTTTTTAGACGGAGTCTCGCTCTGTCACCCAGGCTGGAGTGCAGTGGCACAATCTTGGCTCATTACAGCCTCCCCTTCTTGGAGTCAAGTGATTCTCCTGTCTTAGCCTCCTGGGTAGCTGAGACTCAGCCTCCTGAGTAGCTGGAATTACAGGTGTGTGTCACCATGCCCGGCTAAATTTTTTTGTATTTTTAGTAGAGACGGGGTTTCACCATGCTGGCCAGGCTGGTCTTGAACTCCTGACCTTGTGATTTGCCAGCCTCAGCCTCCCAGAGTGCTGGGATTACAGGCGTGAGACACCGTGCATGGCCCCATCTTTAAGATTTTATTTTGCTGACCCTGATACTGAAAGTAAGTTATATCATTATTTTTTACTATCATTAATCACATCAAAAAAGCTGGCAGCTTATATTAATCAAACATTACAAGAAATTAACTGAATTGTTTGATTTTATTATTAAAACTACAAAATAGTGAATGCTGAGGCATTTTTGTTAACATATCAGATGAAGGAATACAGATATTGGGAGAGACTGGATATTAAATAAATGTAATATAACTAGGATATGCAAGAGACCTGACCTTTCAGTGCCACCCTCATATTAATACCTTTATTTATTTTTAATTATTATTATTATTATTATTTATTTTTTTTTTTTGAGACGGAGTTTCACTCATGTTACCCAGGCTGGAGTGCAATGGCGCGATCTCAGCTCACCGCAACCTCCGCCTCCTGGGTTCAGGCAATTCTCCTGCCTTAGCCTCCTGAGTAGCTGGGATTATAGGCACGCACCACCATGCCCAGCTAATTTTTTGTATTTTTTTTAGTAGAGACGGGGTTTCACCATGTTGACCAGGATGGTCTGGATCTCTTGACCTTGTGATCCACCCGCCTCGGCCTCCCAAAGTGCTGGGATTACAGGCTTGAGCCACCGCGCCCGGCCTATTTTTAATTATTTTTTAGAGACAGGGTCTTGTTCTGTTGCCTGGGCTACATACAGTACAGTGGCATAATCATAGCTAACTGCAGCCTCAGACTTCTGGTCTCAAGCAACCCTCTTGCTTCAGCCTCCTGAATAGCTGGAACTTCAGACATGCACCACCATGCCCAGCTAATTATTTTTTTGTAGAGATGGAGTCTCGCTATGTTGCCCAGGCTGGTCTCAAACTCTGGGGCTCAAGTGATCCTCCTGCCTTGGCTTCCCAAAGTGCTGGGATTAGAGGTGTGAGCCACCTTGCTGGACCACATTAACACTCTTATATTCAAATCCATTGACAATGTTGAAGGACCCTGAATTAATAGTAATACACCAAACCTGTTATTTAATCTCAAAAGTGTTGAGTAAGATTACAGGAAGAAACCAGATGCCATAGTTGTCCTAACCTATGGGGTAACTTGTTAGAGCTGCATGGAAATGATTTGTTTCATTTTTCTAATCTTATATTATGAACTAGTCAGATACCTTGCCAACCAGATCAGTATTTTTTTTTTAAATTCTGTGTTATATTTAGGTTACAGAGTTGTTTATGGATAATAAAAATGAACTTGACCAGTGTAAATCTGACCTGCAAAATAAAACACAGGAACTTGAAACCACTCACAAACATTTGCAAGAAACTAAATTACAACTTCTTAAAGAAGAATACATCACATCAGCTTTGGAAAGTACTGAGGAGAAACTTCATGATGCTGCCAGCAAGGTTTGTCTCTTGCATTGATTTGTACTCACATTAAATAAATTAGAGAATGTGTAGAAGTAATTTTCTGTGCTTAAGCATTAATTGTGATAATCTGTTTATTCACTCCAAATGGTATTTCTCTCCACTTAAAAAACATTATTTTCCCATTTAATCCATATTTTTCTTGGTGGAGATGTCGACTTATGAAAAAATACTCCTGCTCCTGGAGTTTTGAAAATAGAACATAACTTTATAATATATTTTGTAGACATTTAGAATAGTGATACTGGGATGCATTTTCTTTGTGGGGATGATTGAACTTAATTAGTCATTAAGAATTTAGTATGTTCTAGTAATGAAAGATGTGGGAGGTATTTAATTTTTTATTAGTTATACTTTTTTTTGAGACAGAGTCTTGCTTTGTTGCCCAGGCTGGAGTGCAGTGGCATGATCTTGACTCACTGTAAACTTTGCCTCTCAGGCAAAAGCGATTCTCCTGCCTCAGCCTCCCAAGTAGCTGGGATTACAAATGCCTGCCACCACAACCAGCTAATTTTTGTATTTTTAGTAGAGATGGGGTTTCACCATGTTGGCCAGGCTGGTCTCAAACTCCTGACCTCTGGTGATCCGCTGGCCTAGGCCTCCCAAAATGTTGGGATTACAGGCGCGAGCCACCATGCCCCGCCATTAGATGTACTTTTGAGAAAACAGTAGAACATAGAAGGGAAAAAAGTTCTGAGGAAGCATAATTACTGCAATAACTGACAAAATCGGTTTTCCTTGCTTACATAGATGGCTATAGGAAGCGAAATAAACATTACTGGGCATCTGGATAAATTAGCATGAGTTAAAGCATTTTTCCTGATACAATGTCTAAAATTTACTAGTTTTTTTTTTTTTTTTTTTTGGAGACAGAGTCTCTGTCCCCCAGGCTGGAGTACAGTGGCACAATCTCAGCTCACTGCAACCTCTGCCTTCTAGGTTCAAACGATTCTCCTGCCGCAGCCTCCTGAGTAGCTGGGATTACAAGCATGTACCACCACACCTGGCTAAATTTTGTATTTTTAGGAGAGATGGGTTTCACCATGTCGGCCAGGCTGGAAAATTTACTAGTTCTTACCAATATAAATCCTTATGTAGATATTTTCATTAGATTCCTTTTGCCATATTCATTTTGTCAAAACTTATTTTTAAAAATATAGCTGCTTAACACAGTTGAAGAAACTACAAAAGATGTATCTGGTCTCCATTCCAAACTGGATCGTAAGAAGGCGGTTGACCAACACAATGCAGAAGCTCAGGATATTTTTGGCAAAAACCTAAATAGTCTGTTTAATAATATGGAAGAATTAATTAAAGATGGCAGCTTAAAACAAAAGGCCATGCTAGAAGTACATAAGACCTTATTTGGTAAGTTCAGGCTGTTCTGTCCTAGTCTTTATTTATCAGTGTGATACTGATTTCAAAACTGGTAATTTAATTTTGTGAAACATAGGTGACAGTGTCACCAATACTCTTTACCACGCACAAACTATTTGTTCAGGCTGAAGATTAATGCTTTTACTGTTTGTTTGTTTTTTTTGTTTGTTTGTTTTGTTTTGTTTTTTTTTGAGATGGAGTCTCACTCTGTCACCCAGGCTGGAGTGCAGTGGCACGATCTCAGCTCACTGCAACCTCCGCCTTGCGGCTTCAAGCAATTCTCTTGCCTCAGCCTCCCGAGTAGCTGGGATTACAGGCACGTGCCACCACACCTGGCTGATATTTGTGTTTTTAGTAGAGATAGGGTTTCACCATGTTGGTCAGGCTGGTCTCGAGCTCCTGACCTTGTAATTCGCCTGCCTCAGCCTCCCAAAGTGCTGGGATTACAAGTGTGAGCCACCTTGCCTGGCTTCTTGTTTTTTGTTTGTTTTTAGAACTGTCTTTGAATTAAAACAAATCTTAGAGTTCCCTCCTTCTGTTTTCTTTAAAATGTTATGTTTATTAAATAACATCTTTAAATAACTTTTGTTGTTTAATATGTTAAATTAACATAAATATGTTTATGTTTATTAAATAATTTATGTAATAAATACCATAGGTTACTTAATAAACATAAACATATACACATTAGAAGTAAAAGTCTTCTTTATCCCTGACTCTGGCTTCTCACCGTGGCTCATTCACCATAGTGTTATCGTTAAATTTCTTGGGCCTTTTTCTAGAAATTTTCTGTGCATAAACATTCTGCAACTTTTTTTTTCCCCTTCTGGGCAGGTATATCTTGATGGTTTGCTATATTGTCAGAATATGTTTGTGTCTCATTGTTTTTAACTATTGTTATCTCCCTTTAGAAAAAAGTATATTTATTTAGTGTGAAATATTATCCTCATTATAGAGAATTTGGACATCCAGGAATATAAAAATTTTAAAAATAATCTAGCCTTTAGTTTCACTAAGCCAAGCACCATATATTTTGGTATTGATTTCTAGTTTTTCCTTTCTTCTATAAACTTACCATAATTCTGTATATTATTTTTAGTTAGATTAATTTTAGAATATTCTAATTCTTTGTATACTATGAATATTGTTATGGGTCTGATACACTTACAAATATGTTAAGGGCTTACTGTGCACTATAGAAAATGTATAATGTATATTTAAGTTCTTTTAAGCTCATTATTACAGTTTTTACAAGAAGGGTATATTTTTGCCAACTTCTTTGAAATGGTTTGAACTATATTTAATATATTTATGTCAAAGTTTACATCTTTCTTTTTTTTTGTTGTTTTGTTACAGGTAATCTGCTGTCTTCCAGTATCTCTGCATTAGATAGCATTACTACAGTAGCACTTGGATCTCTCACATCTATTCCAGAAAATGTGTCTACTCATATTTCTCAGATTTTTAATATGATACTAAAAGAACAATCATTAGCAGCACAAAGTAAAACTGTACTACAGGAATTGATTGTTAGTACATCCTTTTGAAGGGTTACGTTTGATAAGTATTTGATAAAATATTTTGAAGGGTTACATTTACATTTGATAAGTCTTCATAAACAATGTTAACTGCTGTTCTTTTAAGCTTTGCTAGACACAGTGGTAGACATGTCACTATGAGAGAGTATGTTTATATTCTATAGAACGAACTTTTGAAACTTTTTTCACTCATGTCTTATAATAGGAGTAGGAGTTATTAGTGAGACTTCTAATGACTAAAGGGCAAGTTTAGCACCACATGATATCAAGGGACTTGTTAGTTGGCCCAGAAATTGGTAACTCTTTCCACAGGGGTCTTGGACCCAACCAGAAGGGGCTATTGAGTAGTTACTTTTAAAACTACAGTAATATGTGATGGTAATAGTGGTGCAAGAAAAGTATCTTTTAGAATTCTGGGAACACATAACAATTCTTACGGTTAGATCTGTGTGGCTTTTCCCTTCTGGGCCCTAACTGTAAATCTTTTCTCCACAGTTCTATGGAAGTCACTTACCTAATTGCACTTAATATTACTCCTTTATACTTGATTTTTATATACTCTATATTTTATAGTTGTATGGTTTGTCTAGGAAGTTCTTAGCCATATAATGTATTTGTTTTCTTTGTGCAGGGTCTTTGCCTCCCTTTTTCAGTTTAAAGATATTTCTTAAACATTTTCCAAGTAAATACTACGTATGTTAGCTGACACTTTGCCTCAGTTCAGTGCTAATGACATTATTTTATAGGTTTTCTCTGTCACCCAAATTTGGCAACGTTAAAAGATATCCTGTCAGTACTAACTTTTCAAATATTGATTCATTCATTAAATGGTGGTCTGTGTATACAGGCATACTTCAGACATATTGCAGGTTTGCTTCCAGACCACTGCAATAAACCGAATATTACAATAAATCGAGTCATGAATTTTTTGGTTTCCCAGTGCATATTAAGGTTATGTTGGCCAGGCGCAGTGGCTCACGCCTATAATTCTAGCACGCACCTGGTGGGACAATCAGAACACAAACAACGTTTATCAATTAAGTATGCTGTTTTATAGGGGTACAGTTTATGGTACCCCAAGGCAATTATAATAGTAACATCAAAGATCATTGATCACAGTATATAATGAAAATAGTTTGAAATACTGCAATTGTTACCAAAATGTGATGCAGAGACAGAAAGTGAGCACATGATATTTGAAAAAAGTCACTGATAGACTTGCTCAAGTTAGGGTTGCCACAAAATTTCAATTTGTAAAAATTTAGTATCTGTGACACATAGTAAGGTGAAGCACAATAAAATAAGCTATGCCTGAATTGATATCTTTCTACTTACCAAGTTAAAATTTTTGCTTGAATCAAAAGAAGAGAGGAATGTTGCTCTCACAAAATTAGTTGAAATTGGTATGATAGCTCTTCTTTCCAAAAGAATACCAGTAGGCCTGTAAGTATTTCTAATGTACATTAGTACATTACAGTGGCTCATGCCTGTAATTCCAGCACTTTAGGAGACCAAAGTGGGCAGGAGTTTGAGGTTAAGAGTTCATTACCTGAGGTCAGGAATTTGAGACCAACCTGGCCAACATGGCAAAACTCTGTCTCTACTAAATACAAAAATTAGCTGGATATGGTGGCGGGTACCTGTAATCCCAGCTACTTAGGAGGCTGAGTCAGGAGAATTGCTTGAACCCTTGAGTCAGAGGTTGCAGTGAGCCAAGATCACGCCATTGCATTCCAGCCTGGGCAACAAGAGTGAAACTCCATCTCAAAAAAAAGAAAAGAAAAGAAAAAAGAAATTGTTCTATATTTTTACTGGGCTTGAAAAAAGACAAATTATTGTATTTATTGTAATAGAAGAAATTATTGTATTATTGTATTGATTTATCAATGTGGACTAAAGAATGGAGAATGGGGCTGGGTGCGGTGGCTCATACGTGTAATCCCAGCCTTTTGGGAGTCTGAGGTGGGCAGATCACGTGAGGTCAGGAGTTTGAGACCAGCCTGGCCAACATGATGAAACCCCATCTCTACTAAAAATACAAAAATTAGCTAGGTGTGGTGGTGCACACCTATAATCCCAGCTACTCTGGAGGCTGAGGTGGGAGAATCACTTGAACCCAGGAGGCGGAGGTTGCAGTGAGCCGAGATCGTACCACTGTACTCCAGCCTGGGAGACTCCCATCTCAAAAAAAAAAAAAGAATGGAGAATGGAAATGTAGAATTTTAATGTGAATGTTTAGCTACCAAAATATTTAAAATATCATTTAGACAGGTTTATGGAAGTGAAAATATTTTAAAGACCTATTTGTTTATTTTTAAAACTAGAATGTACTCAAGATTGATCTTCTGAATTCACTGGAAACGATTTTATCCCCCACTGTGGTGTCTATATTGAAAATCAATAGTCAACTAAAGCATATTTTCAAGACTTCATTGACAGTGGCTGATAAGGTAACAAACACTATGTTCCTGATATCTCAAAGTTGATGTGTTGTTTAAGAAGGAAACTCATTTTTTTTTCCTTCAAAGATAGAAGATCAAAAAAAGGAACTAGATGGCTTTCTTGGTATATTGCGTAACAATCTACACGAACTACAAGAAAATACCATTTCTTCCTTGGTTGAATCACAAAAGCTATGTGGAAACCTAAGTGAAGACCTGAATACAATAAAGCAAACCCATTCACAGGTATGTTGGTTAGCTGACGTGGGGAGTACAGAAAGAGAGTTTTATGATGATTTGATATGACTTGATAATCTATGTTATGCAATATGAATACTGTAAAACATGAAACCTGAAAATACCATAGTTACTGTTGCTTATAACAGTAATTTTTGTAAAACAGTTGAGAATACTTCTCTTAATATTTGAAGTTTTGCTACCCCATATAGAACCACAATATGACAAAACAGCCCTTTTCTCATGGACTGGATGGCATGGATAGTTGTCTTTCATAAACCAAGCCCTACTTTCTCTTATTTCTGTCTCACTCATAGACATTTAAAGCATAGTAAATTGATACAATTTTTAATTCTTATTGATTATAAATTTAATTCATGATTTATCTTCCCTGTAAACTGTTCCTCATTATATGAGGCTTTAAACCAAAATCAAGCCATCAAACCATAATCTATAAATATCGGATATATGAAAAACAGCTTCTGGCATTCTTAAGACTTTAATAATGACTGAAGTTTTATTAAACGAGCCTATTGTGATACGACAGAACTCTTATCATAGTTAACATTTATTGAGCAATTCACTGTGTTTATTCCTCCCATCAATGTAGATATAAATTCTATTACTAGCCAGTTTTCTAATGAGGAAAACTGAGACCCTGTGAGCATCTAATAGTGTGTAGATCATCTTAGAGAAGCTGGTGGTGATTATACTGCCTGAAAAGGATCCGTGTTTGAATGGCTCTTCTATGGTTTTTTGGCAATTTAAAATTGCAGCATTTTCTCTTACATCTGCATAGGGTATTTGCCTTAAACCTGTTGAGAAATTTTTAGGTGTATATTCTTTTATTTATTTATTTGTGTGTTTATTTATTTATTTATTTATTTTTGAGTTGGAGTCTCTCTCTGTCGCACTCTCTGGAGTGCAGTGGTGCGATCTCGGCTCACTGCAACCTCCGCCTCCCAGGTTCAAGCAATTCTCCTGCCTCAGCCTCTCGAGTAGCTGGGGCTACAGGCACACGCCACCACACCCAGCTAATTTTTGCATTTTTATTAGAGACAGGGTTTCACCATGTTGGCCAGGATGGTCTCGATCTCTTGACCCCATGATCCTCCCACCTCGGCCTCCCAAAGTGCTGGGATTACAGGTGTGAGCCACCGTGCCCAGCCCTTTTTAGGTGTATATTCTAAGGCTGATCCTTTTTTATAAATTTGCTGTTTTGAAATGCTTAAAATTGGTAGGCAGCTGTTTAAAAAAACAAAACAAAACCATTCTGATCTGAAAAGTATCTTAACATGGATAGTTTGGTTTCCCTGGCTTTAAGAAAGCAAGTTCACTATGTGAGTTATTTCTTAGGTTTTCCAGAACTTGAAATGAGCACCACTAAAATAAATAATTTGTAAAACTTTGAACACATTTACATGTAGATAAATCTGATAATAATACCTGCATTATCATTCAAATTATTAATCTGATAATACCTTTGAGACTAGTAAAAATACTGACAGACTTTATTCATAATCAGAATGTTAGATATGTATTGTCAGGTGATGTATTATTCAGAAATACTGGCCAACCAGCAGACTGAACAGTGAATAAGTATGTTAGATGCATTTTCAGCTCTTCCTTGGTCCTTGTGATGGCTTCTTCATTTTGCAATGTAGCATGTTAGATGCCTCTAAGAGCTTGTTTTCAAAGATGTAAAATATGATCAAAGATAAGACTATTTACATTTTGTTAATATGATCCAACTAAGTTCTGTAAAATTTTTTAGCTCCAGTAATTGATAATAATTTTGGATTACTTGACCTGTAAGTATATCATATTAATTTTTCCTTCTAGTAGTGTTATCAGTTAAAAAGCAACTATATATATATTTATCTGTCAAAGTTGGTCTTACACATAATATGATATATGGGGCTATTTGATTCGTTTTGAGGTACACTGAAAGTAATTTGTTACAGCTAAAATAGTGAAGTTTGCTATTTATTTACTTTTTTAAAAACCCTGGCTGGGTATGATAGCTGACATCTGTAATCCCAGCACTTTGAGAGGCTGAGGCAGGGTGATCACTTGAGGCTAGGAGTTCAAGACCAGCCTGGTCAACATAGCAAGACCACGTCTCTACAAAAAAAAAGTTGTTTAAATTGGCCAGGCTTGCCGGCTCATGCCTGTAGTCCCAGCTACTTGGAGGCTGAGGTAGGAGGATTCCTTGTGCCAGGAGATTGAAGCTGCAATGAGCCTTGATTATGCCAATGCACTACAGCTTGGGCAACAGAGTGAGACCCTGTCTTTTTTTTTTTTTTTTTTTTTGAGACAGAGTTTCGCTCTTGTTACCCAGGCTGGAGTGCAATGGCACGATCTCGGCTCACCGCAACCTCCACCTCCCGGGCTCAGGCAATTCTCCTGCCTCAGCCTCCTGAGTAGCTGGGATTACAGGCACGCGCCACCATGCCCAGCTAATTTTTTGTAGTTTTAGTAGAGACGGGGTTTCACCATGTTGACCAGGATGGTCTCGATCTCTTGACCTCGTGATCCACCCGCCTCGGCCTCCCACAGTGCTGGGATTACAGGCTTGAGCCACCGCACCCGGCCTGACCCTGTCTCTTAAAAAAAAAAAAAAAGAAAGAAAGAAAGAAAAAAATCTTACATTTTAATATCACTTCCACTGCTTTCCTCTGTGGAAGAGAGGTAGAGTTAAAGATTCAAGAATTTATATAATTCTCACCTATGGACAATACTTCACGTTATCAGTCATAAAAAATGTTCAGGTGTGATAATTTTAAGTCTTTTCACTTCCCATACCTTTCTTACAGGAACTTTGCCAGCTAATGAATCTTTGGACAGAGAGATTCTGTGCTTTGGAGGAAAAGTGTGAAAATATACAGAAACCACTTAGTAGTGTCCAGGAAAATATACAGCAGTAAGCTATTTTTAAATTCTCTTAAACATTTCTGTAAGTCTGAAATTATTTTCGAAGAAAAAGCTTTAAATAGTACAAATAATTCCTCTGTGTACTTTCAAATTTCTCATTTGTTAATATCTTATAATGTATGTTTATATATGTGTATATACATACATGCACATGTCTTTTCATTGGGTATTTGTGCTCTCTTTTAAGACAGTGAAATACCTGGCTCTTATCCAAAATGTATTTTCTAATTTCCTCAAACTTAGAAAACAAATTAAGTAATTTCACAATTTCTAACCTATATTACTGATGAAAAATATACTAACTAGAGTAGGGTTTGGCAAGCTATGGCTAGCAGACTGGATGCCTGTTACTATAAATAATTTCACTGGGCACTGTTATACCTATCTGTTTACATGTTGCCTTTGGTTATCTTTGGCTGCCTTTGCACTGAGATGGCAAAGTTGAGTCATTGTTTCCAAGTCATTGAACAATAGCCTAAAATATTTGCTATCTGGCTTTTCAAGAAAAAGTTTGCTGATTCCTGAATTAGGGTTTTGTTTTGTTTTTTGAGACAGAGTCTTGCTTTGTTGCCCAGGTTGGAGTGCAGTGGCATGAGTGCAGTGGTGTGATCTCGGCTCACTGCAACCTCCGCCTCCTGGGTTCAAGCGATTCTTCTGCCTCAGTCTCCTGAGTAGCTGGGAATACAGGCGCATACCACAATGCCTGGCTAATTTTTTGTATTTTTAGTAGAGACGGGGTTTTGCCATGTTGGCCAGGCTGGTCTCAAACTCCTGGCCTCAACTGATACACCTGCCTCAGCCTCCCAGAGTGTTGGTTTGCAGGTGTGAGCCACTGCACTGGCCTGTATTAGAGTTTAATGTTGCTTTGTAGTCTCATTGCTTGCCAGTTCCACACACTTATCATATACTACAGTCAGACCTATGTGTTCTTTTAGGAATTTTATAACTTTATGGTTTAACATTTAAATTCCTGATCCCTTTAAAAATTTTTATATAACAGGAGATTTGTCAAGGTTCAGTTTTTTGCCTATTGAGTATTCTCTACTCATGAGGGGAAAGATACTATATTTACCCTATTTTTGCCCACTTAATTCCTAAATTAAACTCCTAAAGCTTCAAACTTTCTTTGGTGTGAAGAACTTCTTGTAGTCTTTAAGGGTGGGTCTGCTGGCCACAAATTCTGTTTTGTTTTGTCTAAGAATGTCTTGATTTCCCCTTCATTCTTGAAAGATATTTTCACTGGCTATGGAATTCAGGGTTGACAATTATTTTTTTTTGCAGCATTTAAAATATGCTGTTCCATTTTCTTTTGGCCTCTATGAAATGAGAAATCCACTACCATTCAAGTAATTCTTCCCATATAGGCAATCTCTCTACAGCTGTTTTCAAATTTTTTGTCTTTAGAAACTTGATTATATTTCGTCTACTCTTGTATTTCTTTGAGTTTATTCTATTTGGGTTTTGTTTAGCTTCTTAAATCTGTAGGTTTATGCCTTTCACCAAAACTTGGGAAATTTTCATCTATTAATTCTTTGAATATTTTTCAGCCTCATACTCTTTTTCCTCTGCCCCTATGACTTTAATGACACAAATGTTAGATTTTTTATTATGGTCCCTCAGGAGATATGTATAATATATTTCTTACAGGTACATTTATTCTCTTCGTTGTTAATTGGGGAAATTCTATTGATCTGTCTTCATATTCACTGAGTCTCCTTCTGTCATCTCTAACCTATGGTTTTTTTGGGGGTTTTTTTTGAGATGGAGTTTCACTCTTGTTGCCCAGGCTGGAGTGCAATGGCACTATCTCAGCTTACCACAGTCTTCACCTCCTGGGCTCAAGCGATTCTCCTGCGTCAGCCTCCCAAGTAGCTGAAATTACAGGCATGTGCCACCACGCCCAGCGAATTTTGTATTTTTAGTAGAGACGGCGTTTCTCCATGTTGGTCAGGATGGTCTCGAACTCCCAACCTCAGGTGATCTGCCTGCCTTGGCCTCCCAAAGTGCTGGAATTATAGGCATGAGCTACTGTGCCCAGCCATAACCTACTGTTAAACCCTTTCAGTGAGGTATTTTATTTCAGTTATTGGTTTTTTTATTTTTAGTTTTGTAGTTTTGATTTGCTTTTTTTTTTTTTTTTTTTTTTTTTTAAACACCCTCTCAACCCAGCTTTTCCCGACCCTGGGAAGAGACCAGAAGAGAAGACCTGAGTTGCTTTTTTTACACCTTGTTTCTTTGCTAGGATTTTTTTTTCCAGGCGTATTAATTTCTTGTTGGAGCATTTTTATGATGGTTGCTTTAAAATCCTTGCCAGACAATTCTAACATCTTTGAGTTTTCTCATTGTTGGTATCCGTTGATTGTCTTTTCTCATTCAACTTGTGATTTTTGTGGTTCTTGATATATGAGAAGTGATATTCTATTGTATCTTGAACATTTTGGGTATTATGTTAGGAGATTCAGGTTCTTATTTAAGTATTTTTTAGCGGGGATTTACCCTGTTTAGGCTTAGCATACAGGTCCAGGCTCACTTTTGTGGGCTGTGGTTTGACTGACAGTTTAGTTTTTACAGCCCTTGCATTGTTACTCTGATATGCTTTGTTTGTGTGCTACCCACATGAGAAAATTTGTATGCTGCTTTTGTTGGATGAAGTGTTTTATATGTGTCAACCTGATCAAGCTGATCAATAGTGCTATTAAGGTCACCTATGGCTTTACTGAGTTTCTGTATAATTGTTCTATCAATGACTAAGACAGGAATATTGAAATCTCTAACTATAATTGTAGATTTATTTCTTTTATTAGTTCTGTCAGTTTTTGCCTCGTGTTTCTGAAACTTTGTTGTTGGGTGCATATACAATCAGGATTATCATATCTCCTTGGAGAATTGACCTCTTTATCATTATGTAACATCCACTTTTGTTTCTGATTATCTCTTTTGTTCTGAAGTCTTTTTTGTCTGAAATTAATACAGGTACTCCCGCTTTCCTTTCCTTTGATTGCCATTTGTATGATGTATCCTTCTCCATCTCTTTATTTTTGGCCTAAGTCTTTATATTTAAAGTGGATTTCTTATAGACAGCATATAGTTGGGTCTTGCTTTTTCATCAAATTTATAATCTATGAGGTTTAGTTTTATTTATTTATTTATTTGAGACAGCACCTTGCTTTGTGACCCAGGCTGGAGTACAGTGGCACAGTCTTGGCTCACTGCAACCTCTACCTCCTGGGTTCAAGCAATTCTCCTGCCTCAACCTCCTGAGTATCTGGGATTACAGGCACACACCACCACACTCAGCTCATTTTTATATTTTTACTAGAGGCAGGGTTTCACTGTGTTGGCAAGGCTGATTTTGAACTTCTGACCTCAAGTGATTTACCTGCCTTGGCCTCTCAGAGTGCTGGGATTATAGGTGTGAGCCACTGTGCCCAGCCCTTTTTTCAATTATTGTGACTTTCATTTGTAGGTTTGGTTTTCAACATCTTTGCTTACTCACTTGGTTTATCCACATGGTGTACCATCTAGTGGTATTAGAGAGTCACTTCATTACACAAGGTTTAAATCTTGTCCTATAAGATAATTTTGAATGCTATTATAGGGAAACTTGCAGAGAGGGAAATCAATGAATTTTAAATGTATATCTAACCAACATTAGCTTTATATCAAGTTTATGTTATATTGTTCTATATTTATAATTTGTCACACCCCAATATAATTTTCTTTTAATTATTAGAAAGCTTTATAGCTGATTTAAACATAACATTTGTAATGTTTGTGATTTATTTTATGTACTAGGCAAGTGAAACTGCTTAATAACAGAATAAATGACTGATTGTCTAATTTAGGGACTGTACGGGAGGCTGTAGTAGATGCCCTGAAATAACATTTCCTGGTAAGAGGGATAAAACAAGCAGACAAATTTTGAAAGCATCATAACTGGAGGAGGGCTGTGAAAGGTTTCATGAGAAAAGATGATCCTTTCAAACGTCATTTAATGGCAGTCTGCTGTGAAAAGACATTGGCCACGGCATCCATTCTCAACGTAGAAGATGTGTTAAGATCACGGGCCCTGGAGCCAGACTGCCCATGTTCAAATCTGCCAGTGAAGAGCTGAGTGATCTTGGGAAGTTATATATCCTTTGAGTCTTAATTCCCCCTTTCAACAGTGTCATACTCTTTTTCCTATAGGAAATCTGAGGATATAGTCAACAAAATGACTTTTCACAGTCAAAAATTTTGTGCTGATTCTGATGGCTTGTCACAGGAACTCAGAAATTTTAACCAAGAAAGTACAAAATTGGTTGAAGAGTCTGTGAAATACTCTGATAAACTCAAAGGCAACCTGGAAAAAATATCTCAGGAGACTGAACAGAGATGTGAGTCTCTGAACACAAGAACATTTTGTTTTTCTGAACAGTGGGTATCTTCCTTAAATGAAAGGGAACAGGAACTTCAGAACTTATTGGAGGTAATAACTTTGTAACTGGAACTTACTTTGGGGAGAATAATGATAATCAGAAAATTAAATATTCTTGGCTATATCAATTTCAGAACAAATGATATTTTAAGTTATAATGACTTAAACTTTTAAGTATAATACTTGGTATGCTTATACATGATCTCGTTTTGTGCTTTGGTATATGCCTTCTAGATCTTGGAATTAATTTAACATTTGTCCAGTTTCTTTTCCTGAATTTATCCTTAGTAGACTCTTCAAAGAAGGGCACCCTGTCTTTTGATATATAATACCTTCCACTTATAAAATGCTCTTTACTTTTCTCCAAGTACATTCAAACCTATTATTGTTTTAAGTATTTAGGTTATTGCTCTGGTAGCCAAAAGATATTTGATAGGTTTATGGATATGCTTGAACTTAACACTTGCATGAGCCCTTTATGACTTGGTTTTTTCTTTCTTTGCAATAGAAGGATTTTACTAACATTCTCAGGAAGTAGGTACAAAGAATTTACATTTTTAATTTATATAATCTATTTTCACTAAAAGGAACTAGAGTTTGTATACAAATAGCTAATTTCACATTTGAGGTGGGAAATGTACAATATATGAGCCTAGAGATCTTGGTCATACCTGAAAATAAGGAAGCTGTTAAAGATTTCTGTGGTTGTCAAAAGGACTTTGTAGCCAACTTCCCCATGTTCAAAGGTGGTATAATTTGAGCATCGAAAAGAATAATGGCCATAATGGATTAAAACACATCAAATATATTAAAACTTATGAACTCATAAAAATTTCATAGGTCTCCTTTGGATCATGTTAGGGAAGCAACACATTGTCCTGAAAATGGGTAAATAAGAAGAAACAATATAGCATCCATCTGTCTTTCCTAAAAGAAACCATATCTTGGTTTAGCAATGTAATGAAAAAATGTGTTTCATTAGACTCTCAGCTAATAAAATGGAGAAGAAATGATAAAATTAATATATCACCAGTATGCAACTCTTAATAAAATAACCTCTGTGGATGTTAATGACGGCTTAAACCATTTGATCAAAAGCTGAGGCTAACCATACCTAAACCCACAGATAAATCTTAACATGAGAGACATAGCAAAACATTTTGTGTTTGCAGTACCACCTATGAAATATTCTTGCTAAAAAATTGAACCTGAATTAGGTCTAACCAGTTTGTAGAAAATAAAACATAGAAATGCAATTGACCAAATCCACAATTTGAGATGTTCAGTAGAGCAAAGACCTCATTTCTTTGGCAACACTTTTTCAGGGGAAAAAATATGAGAAAAGATAACCTGTAGATCAAAAGAGACTAGAGGTCCTTAAATCTTAGTTTGCCTGATGCACTCCTTGTTGACATTGTTATGTTGGAATGATTATTAACAATGGGCCCTTTCACACTAAAAGGTGTCCCAATTCGGATGATAAATTATATAGTCACCAACTTAAGACCTATAAACCAAATCTAGTGGTGAATTTTGGTTCAAACCAAAGCAATTGTGACACACTTTGGAGACAACTGGTGAAGTCTGAACATGGACTAGACATTTGATAAGAAGGAATCAGTGTTAACCTCTTTAGGTGTGATAGTGGTCTTAAAGTGCTCTTACCTGTTAGAGATACATGCTGAAGTAAATGGATAAAATGATACAGGATTTGTTTCAAAATAATCCTGGATTTGTGGAGGAGTTAAGTGGCCAGTCTTGTTGGTAAATATTTGTACTCCACTTTTTGGTAAATGTTGTAGCTGGGTAATGAATGCAAGGGAGTTAATTATACTGTTCTCTCTACTTTTATATGTGTTTTTAAATCTTTTATTACTGGCGGCCAGGTGTGGTGGCTCACGCCTGTAATTTTTTTTTTTTTTTTTTTTTTTTTGAGACTGAGTCTTACTCTGTTGCCCAGGCTGGAGTGCAGTGGCACAATTTTGGCTCACTGCAATCTCCGCCTCCGAGGTTCAAGTGATTCTCCTGCCTTAGCCTCCTGAGTAGCTGGGATTACAGGCACGCCACCACGCCCAGCTAATTTTTTTGTATTTGTAGTAGAGACCGGGTTTCATCATGTTGGTCAGGCTGGTCTCGAACTCCTGACCTTGTGATCTGCCCGCCTCGGCCTCCCAAAGTTCTGGGATTACAGGCGTGAGCCACCTCGCCCGGCCTCATGCCTGTAATCTTTGAAGGCCGAGATGGGCAGATTGCTTGAGTCCAGGAATTTGAGACCAGCTTGGGCAACATGAAACCCCATCTCTTCAAAAAATATGAAAATTAGCCAGGCATGGTGGTGCATGCCTGTAATCCCAGCTACATGGGAAGCTGAGGTGGGAGGATGGCTTAAGCCTGGGAAATCAAGGCTATAATGAGTCCTAGTCATGCCAATGCACTCTAGCCTGGGCAAAAGAGTGAGACTTGTCTCAAAAAAAAAAATTATTATGGAAAATTTCAAGGTAAGGGAAAATATGATATTGAGTAAAACAGTGGCAACTTTAATTTTAGTAATAAAAAATGTATTTGCATCATTTACAGGTTGTAAACCAGTGTTGTGAGGCTTCAAGTTCAAATATCACTGAGAAATCACATGGACATAAGGCAGCTAATGAGAAACAGCACAATATTTTTCTTGATCAGATGACTATTGATGAAGAAAAATTGATAGCACAAAATCTAGAACTTAATGAAACCATAAAAATTGGTTTGACTAAGCTTAATTGCTTTCTGCAACAGGATCTGAAACTGGATATCCCAACAGGTACTTTAAAAGAGAAATAGAATTGTTAAATTTTTTGAAGTTGAATTCAACTCTCAGTAGTGTCAGATATTCAGAAAAATTAGTCCTGCCATTGCCTAACAGGAATTTACCATCTCACTGTAATCAACTGAAAATGGGAAAACTGGAAAGTTAAAATAGTTTTAATCAAGCGTCATGATATAGGTGATATAAACTCCTAGAAATGTGGTATCATAATTCAGTAAAATTTCACAAACATTCAGGGAATTTACTTTGTTAATAGGGGATATTTTTAAAACAAATAAATAAAAACCTAGCACTGTTTGTAAAAGGATATTTTAATACCACAAATATTGGAGAGATGTAACCAACTAAATCTAGTTTAATGCAAAGTTTGCTACATTGTGCGTTTTGTTCTACGTCCCTCTCATTTTGTCACAGACCGTTGCCATTTAGGAATCCCTGTTTTAAGAGATCGGGGGTCACCATGGACTGTTAGCATTTAGGAATCAACATTTTTAGAGATCAGATACGGCAAACATCATTGTAGGCTATAATGATTCAGGGAAGTCTTCATGGAAGAGATGAATAATTGGGTTCTTCATTGGATTGTAATGGTTGTATACCCTGTAAACTCACTAAAAATCACTGAATTGTACACATAAAATGAGTGTTTTATGGTATGTAAATTATATCACAAAACTGTTTTTGTTTTTTTAATTTAAAAACCAAGTGTAAAAGGGGATGGTGCAACATAGAATGTTGGTTTATTTTTTCCCCAAGAGACCTGTAAGATTTACTGTCTACTTTTCAGTGAAATTAGGAATGTAAATGTTGAGTGAAAAGGCAGGTGCTTTTGTAAATTATGAGAGCATGAGCTAATTACAGAGAAATATAACTGGGAGCCAGAGGTGGTGGCTCATGCCTATAATTCCAGCTCTTTGGGAGGCCAAGGCAGGAGGATCGTTTGAGCCCAAGAGTTTAAGACCAGCCTGGGCAACATAGTATATATATAACTGGTTAATATTTAACCACCACACCACATTTATAGTGAAATAGTTATTCCTATCAAAGTAATCATGTTGGGATAACTGTACTCTTATTCTAATAAGGCATCATGATACAGGTGATATAAACTCCTAGAAATGTGGTATCATAATTCAGTAAAATTTCACAAACATTCAGGGAATTTACTTTGTTATTTACTTTGCTAATTTTTTCAGAACACTCTATAACTTCTTTTAGAGCCTATAATACACCTTTTATATATCCTCAGAGATGGTAAACTTCATGTTTTAGAGAGTAGGATGAATCTTGAAAATAGTAATTGTTGTCAAATAGTAATTGTTGTCAAAATAGTAATTGTTGTCAAATTAGAAAATATTGTTAGTTGCAAACAATTACTGACAGGTAGCAAGACTGATCCTCATATATGGCAATTATATATTTATATTTTATATTTTTAGAAGACAAGATTCATTTGGAAGCTTTAGTATTTTTAAAAAATATTTACATCTCATACTTTAATTTTTACCTCTTATCTAATGTCCATTAAAGGCACTACACCACAGAGGAAAAATTATTTATACCCATCAATACTGGTGAGAACTGAACCACGTGAACATCTCCTTGATCAGTTGAAAAGGAAACAGCCTGATCTGTTAATGATGCTAAACTGTTCAGAAAACAACAAAGAAGAAAAAAATCAGGTAAATTTAAAGGATCATTGTATAATAGAACTGTCTTATGAACTCTTGATGTGGCTGACTTCAAGTGAAGAATTTTAGCATTCACCCTTCAGTCTTACCCTGCCTCTCATTAATGATACAGCTAGTGCTCGACTTACGACCACGGTCGGGACCGTGGACCGGTCATAACATGATTTGGTCGTAAGTTGAGTAGGCTATATGTACAGTTGAAATGGTGCACGCGGAGATGGTAGTGCTGCCGGAAGCTGGTCCGCACTGTCGTACGCCCAGCTGGGCAACGTTTGCGCTGCCAGACGCGGAGTAGTTGTGGCTAGCGATTGTGGTCGTAAAGTTGAATGGTTATAAGTTGCATAGGTGGTAAGTCGATCAATACCTGTAGTTGCCTAGCTCTTAGCCTTATTTTTTTAATCATACCAGTTTTTAAATTATGCTAGTAGATAATAATAGCCAATATTTAATATTGTGTTTAGTAACATTTTTATATAGGAACCTGTACTCTCTATAAAAATATATTCGGAATTATATTCATTATTTGTAGACTTTGTTTACTTTATATATATATATATACACACACACACACACACACACACACACATATACTATATATACATATATATACACACATACATACATATATATATATACATACATACATACATACATACATACATATTCTGCTTATGTAGATTTGTAGACTTTCGATTTGTAGACTTTCTACTAATTTTGTTGAGGTTTAACTTTAATATTATACCATGGGCATATATTGTATTCAAAGAAGAAAACTGCCCTTCCTTTGTGATGACTTTGAGGCTCTTGGACTTAGTCACTCATCCAGCTTCTTCTTCTAGGATGTGGATATAGAAAAGGCAGCTCTGGGGCAGTATACTGAAGAACCTCTAAGTCAGGAGCCATCTGTAGATGCTGGTGTGGATTGTTCATCAATCGGCGGGGTTCCATTTTTCCAGGTACTGATAATATCATATCAGATAACCCTTCCACGGATCTGATGTAAGTCATTCATTTACTATTCAATATAAAAGCATTATTCTTGGTGAGTAGAACCACAGAAACCTTTCAGTTATTTCTTAGGATGGCTTAACTCTTATGATTTGAATTATTTTTAAAAATCTCATACTGTTAAGAGGTTTTCTGTAGAATATATGAAGGCAAAATTTGACTTAATATACATCCTTAGGTGATAATCTTTAGCTAGTGCTTCTATTCCTTTTCCGCTTCCTATATACTCAGAATGGACACTGAGAACAGTCATTCCTCTCTTTCTTCTACCTTTGACATGGAAGTCTTGGAACCTATCTCTGCCCATAATCAGTATCTCTGCCCATAATCAGACTTTGAAGGCAAAAGGCTTGAAAAGATTGAGAGACTGGAGGCCTCTTAGGTTACATTAGTGATTTCTCCTGCCTGAGGCTCTTCTCTTGTGAACTGTTGCCCCATGTTTCCTGAGCTCCTTGCCTGCTCTGATCCTATGTCATTAAATCCTGTGACCTCTCCTATACACTTTTTTTTGAGATGGAGTCTGGTTCTGTTACCCAGGCTGAAGTGCAGTGGCACAATCTCGGCTCACTGCAACTTCTGCCTCCCGGGTTCAAGTGATTCTCCTACCTCAGCCTCCTAAGTAACTAGGATCACAGGCGTGCGTCACCACACCCAGCTAATTATTTTGTATTTTTAGTAGAGACGGGGTTTTACTATATTGTCCAGGCTGGTCTCAAACTCCTGACCTCAAGTGATCCACCCTCCTCAGCCTCCCAAAGTGCTGGGATTACAGGTGTAAGCCACTGTGCTCAGCCTCCAACCCACTTTTTAACACTGTTGAGAACACAGTTGGTTTATGATTTGTTTCAGCATTGATGACTGAATACACAATAAATGTCACCAGTCCCTTAATGTTCTCTATGGGTAAGTGGAGGATTCCAGTGAAATACCACTTCCAAATGAGGCTCTATAAAATGCTAGTATCTTTTCCTTTAGTTTGAAGATACAAGCCTAGACAAAGTGTGTGAAGGAAAAATTTCCTTACATAGGACATTGGTATCTATCTACATTTACAGTTGAAGTACTGCTTCTGAGATGCATCTGCTTGTACCATTTAAAAAAAATTTTTTTAATATATAGAGAGACAGGATCTTGCTACTTGAATTCCTTGCCTCAAGCAATTCTCCCACCTCAGTCTCCCAAAATGCTAGGATTACAGGTGTGAAGCCCTGTGCCTGGTCGCTTGTATCTGTTTTTAATAGATCTATAGGTCTTTCCTTTAAGGTCTAAAAATTCTCCATCTCTGCTTTCAGCTGTTAAAAAAGTTCTAACTCAGGTTCTCATCAATTCCTCCCTGTCTCTGGGCAGTTTTATACCAAAATTCTTGCTACCTTTTTTAAAAAAAAATGTTCTACTATGAGAGAACTATAAATATGTTTCTTTCAGTTTTCATCCTTTCTTCTAGCTTATAAAGTTAGGAAAAGGGGAAGGATAAGAGAACCTTGGTGACTACTTAATCCCTGGTCAGAAATTCTTTTATTATTATTATTTGTGGCATTTTGAACTAGGCTTAGTGATTCAGCTATGGCAAGGAAGTCCTCAAAGTACCAGAAAGGGTTTGGGATGGGATTTTAGACCTTTAGCTGAAGCCCATAAATGATCTTTTCTCTGGTAACAGTGTGATGTGGGGATTTTCTCTGGATTTAAAACTTTATTATTATTTTTTTGTTTTTTATTTTTTGAGATGGAGTCTTGCTCGGTCACCAGGCTGGAGTGCAGTGGCGCAATCTCGACTCACTGCAACCTCCGCCTCCTGGGTTCAAGTGATTCTTCCACCTCAGCCTCCTGAGTAGCTGGGACCACAGGCACATGCCACCACACCCAGCTAATTTTTGTATTTTGAGTAGAGACGGGGTTTCACCATGTTGGCCAGGATGGTCTCGATCTCTTGACCCTGTGATCCTCCCGCCTCAGCCTCCCAAAGTGCTGGGATTAAAGGTGTGAGCCACCGCGCCCGGCGGGTTTAAAACTTTAAAAGTTGGTTTATGATTTGTCTCAACATTGATGACTGAGTGTACAATGAATGTCCCTAGTCCCCTTAATGTTCTCTATGGGTAAGTAGGATTCCAATGAAATAGAACTTCCAAATGAGGAATATGAAATAGGTTTTACAAATAAGATAAAATCCAATTTTTATAAACTAAGCAAAAGCGTTTTTAAGGTGGCCCATATACCAGTTTCTTTGCTTAAAACAGAATGGCTTTTCTGCATGACAGGAAATCTTTGTTTCCTTAGAGCAGGGTTTCTTGACAGCAGTGCTACTGGCATTTTAAACTGGATAATTCTTTGTTGTGGGGGGCTTTCCTGTGGACTGTACCATGTCAGTACACAAGAATGACAGTGTACTATTTGAATACTCACTCAAAGCCAGTAGCACTCCCTGGTTGTAACAACCAAAAAAGTCTCCAAACATTGCCAAACATCCCCTCTGGGAGCACAATCACTCCCTAGTGAGAACCACTACCCTGGAGTAAAATATTTATGTCTTAGAAAATAACACAGAAAATTAATATTTCTTTCACTATACTCCTTCCATTAGTGATAAAATAAAGAAGGCACTTGGCACTACTTGCCAAACAAATTTTTGGCTCAAACTTGTGCTGAACCTTTTCTGAAGTTTTCTTCACTTAAATGTTCTTGCCTATAACCCAGAGAACTTTGAAAATAGAGTATAGTTAATGTGTATCAAATGTTACTTTATATTGACTTGATTTTCTCCCCTTAAATCCACAGCATAAAAAATCACATGGAAAAGACAAAGAAAACAGAGGCATTAACACACTGGAGAGGTCTAAAGTGGAAGAAACTACAGAGCACGTGGTTACAAAGAGCAGATTACCTCTGCGAGCCCAGATCAACCTTTAATTCACTTGGGGGCTGGCAATTTTATTTTTAAAGAAAACTTAAAAATAAAGCCTGAAACCCTAGAACTTGAGCCTTGTGTGTAGATGTTAAAAGAATATATATATATATATATCAGCTGGGCGCGGTGGCTCACGCCTGTAATCCCAGTACTTTGGGAGGCTGAGGTGGGTGGATTGCTTGAGCCTAGGAGTTTGAGACTGGCCTGGCCAACATGGCAAAACCTCGTCTCTACTAAAATACAAAAATTGGCCGGGCGTGGTGGCGCACTTCTGTAATCCCAGCTGCGGGGGAGGCTGAGGCACAAGAATCACTTGAACCCAGGAAGCAGAAGTTGCAGTGGGACAAGATCGCACCACTGCACTCCAGCCTGGGCAACAGAGCAAGACTTTGTCTCAAAAACAAAATTTAAAAAAGATATAAGGCAGAACTGTAAATTTAGCTGAATTTTGATATCTACCCATTTTCTGTCATCCCTATAGTTCACTTTGTATTAAGTTGGGTTTCATTTGGGATTTGCAATGTAAATATATATTTCTAGCTTTTCATATAAAGTTCTTTCATAACAAATGAAAAGTATTTTTCTTGTATATTATTAAGTAGTGAATATATAAGAACTGTACTGTTCTTCTAGGCTTGAGTTTACATAGGTGAATATCACCAACACCTGGCCTTAGAGAAGGACCACATCATTTTTTTTTTTTTTTTTGCTATGACTTATGTATTTTCTTGCCTCCTTCCTAGACGTTCCTATTTCGCTTTCTTGTTGGCTCACTTTTTCCCTTTTTATTTTTCACCAAACCATTTGTAGAGCTACAGAAGGTATCCTTTCTTATTTTTGGTAGCCAGAATTTTACCTAGGAATCTTTTAACAGTTTTTTAGTGGTTATTTTTTAAATCACTGTCAACAATAAATCTAACCCTAGAAGTACCCCTTCTTTCAGTACTTTTTATTTGTCTCCCTGAGATGTGAAAGGGTTTCATTCCTTTAAGAGGCCTAACAGATTTGCCCTGACAGAGTTCACAAAACCCACTTCTCTAGAATGTAAATTGCTATTATGGGAGACTACCCAGAGATCCGACTAATGGCCCTGTGCCCACACTCTAAGACGTGTCTTTTGGAGAAGATCACAATGATTTAAGGACTTTTTGAAACTTCCAATTATGTCTAAAAATTATATTCTTTTGTTTACATGATGAAACTTTTTGTCATTCCTTGCTTGTATATAATAAAATATGTATGTGTATCTTTTTCTCAATTTAAATCTTAACCCTTAGAAGGGCCCTACTATTTCTGATCTGGCAGTCATATTTCTGGAAGTTGAGATTGTTTCAGCTTGAAGAACCAGAGCACTTGGAATATGTACAAAGAATAAATTTTGTGCCCACAAAGTGTTTAGTATGTAAATTTTAGAGACATTTGACTTTGATAGCTAAATTAAACCAAACTCTATTGAAGAATTAGAAAATATGCTACAAGGAATTAAATTGACCTTGTAGAATTAATTATCTTAATAAAAATAATGGCTATAATTTCTCTGCAAAATCAGATGTCAGCATAAGCTATAGTTAATAAATTGCCCTCAGTAAATCCATGGTTAATAAATGTGGTTTCTGCATTAACCTGCTTGCTGCATAATTTCTTATCTGGCAACAGGTATGTTTAGAGAGTTAGGCAAGCTGCATTCACATTCCCAAAATAAACTACGCAGGTACCATCAAAGAAGAAGGACCCTAGTAAACATATAGGCTTTTAGTTGCACTCCAAGGGGCTATCCTAGGTGCAAGGTTAGTGAGAAACAGGCCCTCACGCAGCCTGAAGTCCAGCTTTAAGTCATCTCATTCCATGACTGCTTAAAAGTTATCTGAGAATGCTGATGCAACTAATTTCACTGCCTCACAGAAGCAAAAATAAATCTCCAGAGAAATTTAACATCCAGAACCATAAATTAGCTCTACCAATTTTCATACACAACTTCAGACCCTCAGAATGTAACCAAGAGTAGCATCAGCAAAAATGGCAAAGTAGGTAGCTTCAAGGACCTGTTCCTCCACAGAAACACTGAAAAGTCAAGCAAAAACATTCAGAAACAACTGTCAGAACTCAGGAAAATAGTTTACAGCCACCAAGCATTTGCTAAATCAAGAAAAAGGCAACCTATAAGGAGAAGGAAAGCTTGGCAGTGGTTTACTTGCCCTTCTCCATTCTCAGCTCTGTAACAATCTTAGACACAGATCATATTCTCAGTGTGGGGTCTGGGTCCTGGGTTTCTAGGGCGAAGAGAGATCTTTGTTGTTGTTATTGTTCTGGGAGACAGAATCTCACTCTGTCACCCAGGCTGTCGTGTAGTGGCACAATCTCAGTTCACTGCAGCCTCCCTGGTTCAAGCAATTCGTGCCTCAGCCTCCCTAGTAGCCGGGACCACAGGCACTTGCCACAACACCTGGCTAATTTTTTTGTATTTTTAGTAGAGATGAGGTTTCACCATGTTGGCCAGGCTGGTCTCAAACTCCTGACCTCAGGTGATCCACCCTCTTTGGCCTCCCAAAGTGTTGGGATTACAGGCGTGAGCCACTGCACCTGGCTGAGCTTTGTGATGTTTTAACTTGCCCTATTCTCAACACTCTCCCCAACTCCTCATTAGTCTTTAAAACCAACAGTTCTATAATCATAGTGAAGACCAGTAGCCTAGCAGCCCCTTGCTAGGACAGAATGGGTTTGAAGTCTCCCAAAACAGCATTATTTGAGCACTGTCATTATTTGGCCTGACAATTCCCTGGAAACCCTCATTCACAAGACTTGCCTTGGCCAGCCATGGTGGCTTATGCCTGAAATCCCATTACTTTGGGAGCCTGAGGCAGAAGAATTGTGTGAGGCTAGGAATTCAAGACCAGCCTGGGCAACATAGTGAGACACTTTCCCTACAACAAATTTAAAAAAAATTAGGCATGGTGGAACACACCTATAGTCTCAGCTACTCAGGAGGCTGAGGCAGGAGAACTGCCTGGGCCCAGGAATTTGAGGGTTCAGTGAGCTATAGTCACATCACTGCACTCCAACCTGGGTGACAGAGCAAGACCCTGTCTCTAAATAAAATAAAAGTAAAAAAAACAAATACTTGCCTTTATTTGACTCAACTCAGACCATGCTCAGTGAGAATAACCTTTCACCTGGGACATTTGTTGAAGATAATCAGTAGCCTGGTAAACATGTAGCTGACTAAGGCAGTGATAACAGTTGAGGCAAACAAACTGCCCCCGCCCCCCAAAAAACAAAACAAAACAAATCCAAAGAAGAGCTGGGGAATGAGATGTCTATAGGAGGCTTTCAAAACTACTGACGTGGCAGGGTGTGGTGGCACACACCTGTAATCCCAGCACTTTGGGAGGCTGAGGCGGGTGGATAACCTGAGGTCAGAAGTTCGAGACCAGCCTGCCCAACACGGTGAAACCCTGTCTCTACTAAAAATACAAAAATTAGGGGCCGGGTGCAGTGGCCCATGCCTGTAATCCCAGCACTTTGGGAGGTTGAGGCAGGTGGATCATCTGAGGTCAGGACTCCGAGACCAACCTGACCAACATGGTGAAATCCCATCTCAACAAAAAAATATAAAAATTACCCAGGCATGGTGGCAGGTGCCTGTAATCTGAGCTACTCGGGAGGCTGAGGCAGAAGAATTGCTTGAACCTAAGAGGTGGAGGTTGCAGTGAACTGAGATCATGTCATTGTATTCCAGCCTGGGCAACAAGAGTGAAACTCTGTCTCAAAATCATAATAATAATAATAACTTGATATATTCATGGGACTCTAGAAGACCATGCACATGTATGGGCTTATGTGCATGCTCAAATCTGTGCACACGCCCAGGAAAGACCTAAGAAAGTCGTTCTAACACAACATCTGGTTGACCTTGAGGCACTGAAAAAATACGGCAAAAGTTAAGTCAGCATTTTTTAATGCCTGCCTGAGTGTGAAGGTGTGCCCCAACACAAACACACACAGAACCTCTTGGAAGTGGGCTGGGAGACTAAATAGATTCAATCATTTAAGTAAATATCTAATCACTAGCTGACCACTAAGCTAAATGAGCAGAGACTTCAGTGACGAAGACATATTTCACAGATTCATTTGGAAAAGCCACTAAAAAAAAAAACCCATCAACAGCAACAACAAAAAACAACATCAACAAGTCCTTAGAAGGGGAAATAATTTGTTTTCCAGAGTAGTCACATTGCATTATTAGAAATGTCAGTTTTTGGCTTGGTATGGTGGTTCATGCCTGTAATCCCAGAACTTTGGGAGGCTGAGGCAGTTGGGTCATTGAGGTCAGGAGGTTGAGACCAGCCTGGCCAACATGGCGAAACCTCATTTCTATTAAAGATACAAAAATTAGCCAGGTGTGGTGGCACATGCCTGTAGTACCAGCTACTCGGGAGACTGAGGCATAAGAATTGCTTAAGCCCAGGAGGTAGAGGATGCAGTGAGCTGAGATCACACCAGTGCACTCCAGCCTAGGCAACAGAGTGAGACTCTGTCTCAAAAAAGTCATTTTTCTTTTTTTTTTTTTTTGAGACGGAGTTTCGCTCTTGTTACCCAGGCTGGAGTGCAATGGCGCGATCTCGGCTCACCGCAACCTCCGCCTCCTGGGTTCAGGCAATTCTCCTGCCTCAGCCTCCTGAGTAGCTGGGATTACAGGCACACGCCACCATGCCCAGCTGATTTTTTGTATTTTTAGTAGAGACGGGGTTTCACCATGTTGACCAGGATGGTCTCGATCTCTTGACCTCGTGATCCACCCGCCTCGACCTCCCAAAGTGCTGGGATTACAGGCTTGAGCCACTGCGCCCGGCCAAAAGTCATTTTTCTATAAAAAATTATGAGTATTGTTCTTACACAGAAAAATAGCAATGTATAGAAACTATCCTTGAGGAAACTTGGATGTCAGACTTACTAGGCAAATAATTTAAACAAACTATTTTAAATGTGTTCAAAACATTAAAGGAAATCATGTTTTAAAAAAGCAATAATTGAAATTAAAAATTCACTAGAGTGACTCACAAGCAAATGTGATTAAGCAAAAACAAAGACTCAACAAACTTAAAGTGAATTGTGATTATCTAGTCTGAGGAACAGAAAGGAAGAATACATAAAAATGAATAGAACATCAGAAACCTGTGGGACATTATCAAGTATACCAACATATACATAATGAGAGTCCTAGTAGAAGAGAATAGAAAAGGACAGAAATAATATTTGAAGAAACAATTGGTAAAAATTTCCTAAATTTGCTGAGAAACATTTATCTCCATATCCAAGAATCTCAATGCACTCCAACTAGGACAAACTTAAAAAGATCCACACTTATTCACATCATCATAATCAAACTCAAAATCCAAAGAAAAGGTAATCTTGAAGAAAGGGAAATGCAATTAATCATTTAGAAGAGCTCCTTCACATGATTAACAGCTGACTTCTTATCAGTAACCATGAAGGCCAGAAAGCCATGGGATGACATTCAAAGGGCTGAAAAAAGTCTGTCAACCAAGAATTTTATATCCAACAAAAGCAATCTTCAAAGATGAAGCAAAATATAAGTAATTCCCAGATAAACGAAACTGAAACAATTTGTCATTAGCAAACCCGCCACACAAGAAATACTAAAGGGAGTCCATTAAGTTGAAATGAAAGAACACTAGACAGTAACTTGAGACTACATGAAGAAATAAAGGGCACTGGTAAAGGTAACTAAGTAGATAAATATAAAAGACCATATGAATATATTTTTGCTTATGTTTTTCTTTTGTCTAATATTAAAGACTACTGCATAAAGTTGTAATTATAAATCTGTGCTGATGGGCACACAACCTATGAAGATGTAATTATGATAACATTGCAAAGAAGGGGAAAGAACAGAGCTACGTAGGAGTTAGATTTTGTATACGATTGATATTAAGTTGGTATTAAACTAGATTGTTAAATTAAGTTGTTAATTGTTATTTCCAAAACAACAAAGGAAAGGACTCAAAAATATATATAGTAAAAAAAAAAAAACCCTACTGTCAGCAACCATTATTTTTTAAACAAAAAACAAGAACATTAAAAAAAATGACAAGGGAATTAAAATGGTATACAGCTAGTGCTCGACTTACGACCACAGTCGGGACTGCGGACCAGTGGTAACACGATTTGGTCGTAAGTTGAGTAGGCTATATGTACAGTTGAAATGGTGCACGCGGAGATGGTAGTGCTGCCGGAAGCTGGTCCACACTGTCCTACGCCCAGCTGGGCAACATTTGTGCTGCCAGACGCGGAGCAGTCGTGGCTAGCGATTGTGGTTGTAAAGTCGAATGGTTATAAGTTGCATAGGTGGTAAGTCGATCAATACCTGCATTAGAAAATATTTATTTAATACAAAAGAGGACAATAATGGAAAATAGAAAGGAAAAATGACATAAGACATATAGAAAACATAGCAAAATGGCAGACATAATTCCTTCCTTAATAGTAATTGCATGAAATTGATTAAACACTCCAGTCAAAAGTAAGAGAATGGCAGAATGGATTTTAAAAATGGTGCAACTATATGTTGTCTACAAGTGATACACTAGATTCAAAGATATGA